AGCACAGGAATGGGGAGTGAAGGGCCCGCCCATCGCCAGTGGCCCCACTAGCCCACACAGGGCCCACCCGCAGGGCCCTCACCAGTCCTTGTAGAAGCGCCGCCGGCACTCATCGCTGAGGTGCTCTGCAAAGATGGTCTTGAAGCTCCGCAGGCCTCGCGGGGTAGCCACGTAGCCCACGACACCCACCACCACAAGAGGTGGTGTCTCCACAATCGTCACGGCCTCCACCTCCTCCCGCTTGGAAATTTCTGGATGAGACCCAGAGATGAGCATGAAGGAGAGCCTCCAGGGCCCATGAGTAAGGGAGACAGAGTGGAAAAACCAACTGCAGCCCTCCTGCCTGAGGGAGGATGGGCACCACAGCCCCAGGGCTGCAGGTACAGAGGCCCTCTGGACCAGAGCCCTCTCTGACCTCCAGCCCTCAGCCTGCCAGCTCCTTGCTCTGCCATGGCATGGAGCAGCTGCTGAACAGGGCCCCACAGTGTAGCTCTGACACTGAGATCTCAGGCAAGGCCTGACCTGCTCCCTGCCTCAGTTTCTCCACCAGGCCACCCAGGAATTGGCTAGGAGAGCAACAGCCAGGGCAGCATCCTCCAAAGGGTGGCATTGGGCCTCCTTTAGTGGGGCACAAATGATCTTTTTTCTGTTGTTGCTAATCCTCACTTGAGAATACATTTTTTCATTGATTTTTTAGATAGAGTAGAGGGGAGGAGAGGAAGAGAGAAACATCAATGTAAGAGAGACACGTCAATTGGTTGCCTTCTGCTGGCGCCCCAACCGGGGCCAGAAATCGAACCTGCAACTCTGGTACATGCCCTTGACCAGGAATCAAACCTGCCACCCTTTGGTGCACAGGCTGAAGCACTAACCACTGAGTCACGCCAGCCAGGGTACAAATGATCTTTTTTTTTTTTTTTTTTTTATGTGTGGTTTTTTGGTGGTTTTTTTTTTGGTACGTGCCTCTAGCAGGAACCAAACCCGGGACTCTCTGGTCCATAGGCCGACGCTCCAACCGCTGAGCCAAACCAGCCAGGGCTTTTTTTTTAATAGTTGTAAATGTAGTCCAGCCGTGTGGCTCAGTGGTTGAGCATCGACCCATGCACCAAGAGGTTGCCAGTTTGATTCTTAGTCAGGGCACATGCCCAGGTTGCAGGCCCGATCACCAGTGGGGGACATGCAGGAGGCAGCCAAATCGATGTTCTCGCTCATTGATGTTTCTCTCTCTCTCTAAAAATCAATAAAGAAAAAGTTTAAATATATATATATATATATATATATATATATGTTAGGAGAGATGAAAAATGAAGAAGTGGGTATAAAAGGGCACCAGGGAAACCCACATGGCAATGGAATATTCCGAGGTGGTGGGTACACACATGTACACATGACAGAACCATATAGAACTAAACACACATGCGCGCATACAAATACAACTAAGGGAACATGGGTCAACAAACATCCTGCTTCGACATATAGCTTTATCTTTACGAGAGGTTTCCAACCCGGGGAAACTGGGTGAGGGGTACACGAAATCTCTCTATTGTTTCTTTTTTTTCTGTATTGTTTCTTACAACCACATGTGAATTACAATTATCTCAAAACAATAAGCATAATTGGGTGCCTGCGTTTGACTCCTAGTTTCTCCACTTACTAACTGGGCCACTGGCAGGTTTTATAACTGCTCCATTTCCTCATCTGTAAACTGGGGGCAATGACAGAATTCACCTCCAGGGGTGGTCAGTGGCCAATGGTCAGATGGTCACGATTCTGACTGCCATTCCCACAGGCAGGGCCTCACTCTTTCTGGGCCATTTCCCCTCCTGAAGTCCCATTCTGATTCCTAGCATTCGGAAGTTTCTCCAGATCTTCTGGTAGTCAGGGGTTCTCTATCCAAATCCCCCTGCCCTGTGTGTCCCTCTATGGCCACTCACTGAGCCCCGGCCGGTGCACCTCTCGGAGAGTGTGTGTCATGCCAGCCTTGTAACCCAGGAAAGCTGTGAGGTGCACCGGCCGGCTGGGGTCATCCCGAGGCCATGTCTTCACCTTGCCCCGGTGCCGGCGGCTCCTCTTGTGGGGCAGGAAGCCCAGGTGTCCATGCCGAGGGGCAGAAAACTTCCGGTGGGACTGAGGATAGGAGAAGATGGAGGTCAGAGCTGGGGTCACCCTGGAGAAAATGGCTAGATGTTCCCAGAGCCCAACCCAGAGAAGGGAGTTAGAGACCCAGGCTGAGGCTTGGTGGTCTTCAGTGCCTCCATCTGTCTGCAGGAAAGGAGGGGAAGGTTTGCCCAGGGGCAGTGTCTTACGAACAGAGCCAGCACCAAGCCCTCGTCACCCACAGGTTTCCTGCCTCAGTGAGTTCAGACTGGCTGGGCCCAGGCGAGGTTGGCCCACACTGTGGCTGGGGCTACAGAGACAGGGGGCTGCTGCCATCGGTCCATCTCCTTGCCTGTTCCAGGCCTGACAGTCTGAGCTTCAGGCCCTGCAGTCCTTTCCAACCCACTACTTCTTCACAGGCCCAAGGACTAGCCCTGCTGGGAGAGACTCAAGAAGCCCATTTGTCCCTCCCCAGGAAGCCAGCTTGCTCCAGCTCCAGCCCCCCAGCCCACTGACCATGGCCGCTGGTCCCTGCAGGTCAGGAAAGAAAGGGGCCTCCCTGCCAGGTGCTGGAGGTCGAGTGGCAGGGCCAGGACAAGCAGCAGCCAGATCCCAGATTTAGACCCTGGCAGGGGAGCTTGGTCATCTCCCGTGGCGGGCATGGGCTCTGGTGCCAGAAGCAGGCTCAGCTTGGGGCGGAGCAATGGGGGGACATCAAATGGGCAGCCTGGGGTGGGGACACTTGAAGCCAGGGCTTGCACTTCTTTCCTCAAGGGCCCTGGGAATGGGTCACACTCACTCTGTTTTCTTTCTTATAAGACTCACACCCAGGACAGAAACAACTTGGCCTGGTGGGAGGCAAAAAAAACCCAGCTGGGGGGCTTTTCTCATGCAGCTGTCAGAGATGAGGGTCTGAGTCGAGTTTTCTGTCATTGAGGCAGAGGGGATTCCAGTCCTAAGTGCTGTGAGCCTGAGCTGGAGCAAGATGGGAGGATCACCAGGGCCCTGATTCAATACCAGGATCCCTTTGACTATAATAGCTGTGATCTAAGAACATTTAGATACTTTTATGAACTGAAGTTTTGAATGAAAAGGAGATTGGAATCTCTTATTTTTAATGTAAAGATTCTGTGGTTATAAAGATCTGTAGCTGTAGGACCAGATTTTTATAGGCCTAAGATGTCTCTGAGCGTCTGTGGATCTGTGGATTTTGCAATACTCAATGCTAATATTCTGTACTACTAAAATGTCATGATTCTTTGTTTTGTTTGTTTGTTTGTTTGTTTAGAGAGAGTGGAAGGGAGGGAGGTAGAGAGAGAGAGAGAAACTTTGATGTTGAAAGAGACACATCGACTGGTTGCCTCCTGCATAGCCCTGGTCGGGGCTCCAGAAACCTGCAACCCAGGCATGTGTCCTTGACCGGAATTGAACCCTTGACCTTTCAGTCCGAGGGCTGATGCTCTAACTGCTGAGCTAAACCGCCAGGGCTGATTTTGTTGTTTTTGAATTACAAAGCTACTTTGGGCTGAGCCCCACAGAAATAAAATCACTGGGAAGGGGTAACCCCTTCCACTGAGGGAGGGAAGCACAGAAGAGACCACTGCAGGCTTGGGGCAGAGGGAATGCCATTGGTGCTGGACTGCTACAGGACATTTGAAGGTGGTAGTACTGGCTCCAGGCACACAGGCCAGTGGCAGGAGGGTTGGACACAGAGCCACAAAACCAGTAGGTTCCTCCCTCTCATTTGCCTTTTCTGCTTCAGCTGCATGATCTCTGAGTCCCTCTGCTCCCAGCAGCAGAAAGCCATCACCTCAGCACTATCAGGGCATCATGATGATGTCAGCAGCTCAGTCCTGCCTCCATTGGGACCGCTTATTCAGTCTGACAGTGTGTTTCCAAGAATTCATGAAGGATTGACATTTCTGTGATTCTATCTTTCAGATTCTGTGTGTCCACAGAGTTGATGGCTCTCTGTCTCTGGGCCCAGCCTTTGGCCAGGAAGTGACCAGCCCCCTTCTTAGTGCTGGTCAGGGGCCAGGCCAGGTGTGGAGATCATGGAGGACAGCTAGCAGGGCCCTGGTCAGTGGAGATGCCTCAGGGGAACAACAGTGCTCAGGGCCAGGATGAAACCATCAGAACAGGACCTGTGTACCCTATGCCCAGGAGCAAGTCCTGCCTCCTGCTATGCCCTAGGCAGGCCCCCCAAATCCACTGGCAAGCACAGTGGAGCCCAGAGAGGGCTGTAGGGAATGAGCAATCCAAGACGGCATCCTGGAAGAGTAGTTTGTTATTTGTTTGCTCTACCACCCTGAGTTCTCCAGAAGAGTCCATGTTCATCTTGTTCCTCGCTACACGTGGCATGGGCCTTAACAGTTTACTTATTCCTGTGTCAGTATCCTCTTATTGATTTATTTTTATTTTTAATTATATATTTTTTATTTTATTTTGTTTGTTAATTCTCACCCAAGGTTTCCATGGATTTTTAGATAGAGTGGAAGGGGGTGTGGACATGGACTGGTTGCATCCCACACGCCCCCAAGGACCCCACCCCAGATCAACCTGCAACTCACGTAAGACGTGACCTTGACAAGGGCCGCTGCTCTAACCACTGCGCACCCGGCTAATTATATTATGTATAATTATCTATATATCTATCTATTATTATCATCATCATCACCATCATCACCATCATCTAATCATCTCTAATCTATCATTTTATATGTATATATTAGAACGTAAGCAGAACCGCTCCATAGAGATCCAAGGAGAGGGCCGTATGTGCAATGGCGCGTCAGTACCACGAGGGGGCGCCCAGGCTGTGAGGTGTTGCCGGGGCCCACACCTGGGCGTGTCGGGAGAATAAGTCCCATGGTGCCTCGCGGGCACCGCCCGCCTTACGCAGGCGCAGTCACCCTCGGGCGTCCTCTGCTGCGGGCGAGCTAGGCCGCGCCACAGAGGCGGAGGCAGGGACGGTGCCCGCCCGAGAGGGATCCCTCCGTGAGCCACCGCCATGCCTGACAGTTGGGACAAGGACGTGTACCCTGTGCCCCCGAGCCGCACGCCGGCGCCCTCACCGCAAACCTCGCTGCCCAACCCCATCACCTACTTGACGAAGGCCTTCGACCTACTCGTGGACCGGCCTGTGACCCTGGTGAGAGGTACGGGTTCCACCTGGTCCTCGCCGCTCCCCGGGATCCCTGGACCCGGTGCCCCAACTTGGACACCCTGACGCACCCCTAGCTTCGCTCTCCTGACTATCCCCGCTGCATCCTGGGCGCCCACCCGTAGATCTGTGGGCCTCGTCACCTACTTAGACCCCCCCAACTGCACCCCAAGCCTTGCTTCCGAGGACGCCCCCCTCAGCGCTCTCCGGTTCCCGCCGCTTAGGGGATTCTCCACGCACTCCTGGTCTCCCACCTCGCCCAAGTTTTAGGGGTTTTTTTGCCGATCGCAATCATCAGTGCCCTGGGGCTTGTCAGATCCCCATCTCCCTGCAAGCTTTGCATCCTGTTGTGTACAGTAAGAGTCAGCAAACGGGTGTTTAAATGCAGGAGTTATCCGCTAACCCTCTGCATGCCTGCAAAATGACCGGGGTGGTCATATGATGGCCGAATTCCCTCAACCTAGACGTGCCGTGACTTGTTAAACGTGTGTGCCCAAATTCCTTGAAAGCTGCCCAAATTGCCCTGTCTCTGGTCTGAACCAGACTGTTTAAAAGAGTTCTTTGTTGCCCAGTTTGTGGTTCAGACAGCCCCACGGGGCAGCAGCAAGAGGATATCCTACCCTCAGTCACTAGTGCCAGGCCATTCATCCATGCTAATTTAACCAATGTCATTCGTTCAACAGAACATTTGGGGTGCATAGCGTGCTCTGGTCTCTCTTTTGTTAGGATAAAGTCAGCAAACCAAAATCCCAAGGTCTGGAAAAGGCACCACACTGGACCCACTCCCTTTTTATTTTTGCTGTTTCTTCCCTAGTTCAACTTGATAATTTCCCTAAGGGGAAGTTTAGGCCAGGTGAGCGGTGCGGGAACTGGGACTTGAATCCCAGCAGGTGGCTCCCTATTGGAGTACTACACACTGGAGTCGTCCCTGCGATGGGGGCTGTTAGGCAGGCAGGAGGCAGGCTTCTAGAACCTGGATTCTGAATCCTGCCTTCCTTCTGTAAGGACCTGCTCCATAGGGTTATTGTGGGGACACAGTAACAGGGAACTCTGTGAGCTAGCCCACACTTGAGAGGCCACTTGCTAGTCTGTAAAAATTGAGATCAGCCTATCTAAACTGGCCTGTCCAAACCAACGGGGCCTGAATCAGGGAATTTCTCTTTTGCAGAGTTTATAGAGCAGCAGCATGCAAAGAACAGGTATTACTACTACCATCGGGAGTTCCGCCGGGTTCCAGACATCACCGAGTGCAAGGAAAAGGATGTCTTGTGCATGTTTGAAGCAGAAATGCAGTGGAAAAGAGACTAGTATGTTCTTCCCTTGATTGGGGAATTTTGAACCAAAATCTTGGGGGGTGGAGGAGCCAGACCACAGCTCCTATTTTTATTTGGTCCTTGGGCCTTTGTAGACCACCTTTCTTGTTCCTTCTTCTTTCAGCAAAGTCGATCAAGAAATCGTCAACATTATCCAGGAAAGGCTGAAGGCCTGTCAGCAGAGGGAAGGTGAGAGCTACAGGCAAAACTGTGCCAAAGAGATGGAGCAGTTCACCCAGGTGGCCAAGGCCTATCAGGACCGATGTGAGTGAGCCTCAATCCAACCTGACTCCTGCTTCCCTCTATTCCTGTGAGCTGTTACTAAAACTGGTTAATTCAATGCACCTGCAATGGTTTCTACACATTGCTCAAAGCCTAATTAGATCAGTCTTGCAGGGTGAAATAATTATCACTGTACCTCAGGTCCCCTTTCTGCCCAGTACCTGTATTGCCTACATTCCTCTCTGTAATCAAGATCCCTTTTCTTATTATGGCAGAAATGGCTCATAACCCCTCCCCCCATTTTTTTCAGATCATGACTTAGGGGCTCATTGTTCTGCCAGGAAGTGCCTGGCAAAACAGAAGCAGAGGATGCTTGCAGAGAGAAAAGCTGCTAAAGAAGCTGCTGCTGCTCTTTGATTCCCCCTCACATGACTGTCACCACTGCTAAGTAAAATAAAGAGTAATGAAATCTATTCTGGTGTCACCTTCAGCCCTCAATCTTGATACACTGATGAATCTTATGTAAGGCCCATTATTCAATTTCAGCTTAACAGAAGGCAACTATTAATTTAATTAACAGGCTTTATTCACTTTTTCTTGTATAAAATTATGTGGTGGCCACAGCTGGAGCCTGGGTCCTCTGCACAGAAACTCTGGTGTGTGTCTTTACAAGATGGTCGGTGAATTCCTAGAAAGATAGACAAGCTTTAGCTGTAGAGCCAAACACACACTGTACTTGAATAGGTTAACAAGGTGATAGGGCAAGAAGTACCTGATAGGGAGACTTGGTGAACACAGTCTCTTTCCAGAGATCAGGGGTGAGATAACTGTAGGTCTTAGAGATGGCATCAAAGGTGGCCTTGGCTAGAAAAGGAAATAGGGTTGGTGGATTCATCCAAAACACAAAACCCCAGACATAGAGACAGAAGCTGTCCCCAAATCCTAGGAAGAGGCCACTTTCGACGTCTCCCGATGCATTTAGGGTTTTCCTCTCTGAAGCTATGCCACCAACCAACCACCCAGACTGATTTAAGTGGCACTGAGAGGCCACAGACCATGTGTAAGACACCTACCAAAGTTGCCCAGGGTGGCAGTGCAGCCCCTGGCCGAGGTGTAGCAGTCGTCAATACCAGCCATCATCAGCAACTTCTTGGGTACAGGGGCTGAGACTATGCCAGTGCCCCTGGGGGCGGGGATGAGGCGCACCAGTACAGAGCCACAGCGGCCAGTCACCTGAAAGGGTTGGGATCAGAACACTGGGGCAGGAGAGTGTCTGCCACTGAAGACCCCATCAATTACCACCCCCAGCCTACCTTGCAAGGAACAGTATGGGGCTTGCCAATCTTGTTCCCCCAGTAGCCTCGCCGCACAGGGACAATAGAGAGCTTGGCTAGGATGATGGCCCCACGGATGGCAGTGGCTACTTCCTTCGAGCACTTAACACCCAGACCAACATGTCCATTGTAGTCCCCAATGGCGACAAATGCCTGTAAAGAGACTGAAGTGGCTGGTGGTCCACTGTCCTGCACAGCATCAGTAAACCACCACCAAGAGCCTGTTGTGCCCCTCAAGGAAAGAGTGGCCACTGTGAGGCCAACCTGAGGTCCTGAGGCGATCCTTTCTCTCTCTCCCCTTTACGAAAGTCACACGTGTGAAAACCAAGTGTAACAATGCAGAGCTGAGAGAGTCTCACAAAATTTGGCAGAGACAGCCCAAAAAGACACAAGGTGGCTGTGATACCTTGAACCGGGTCCTCTGGCCAGCACGCGTCTGCTTTTGCACGGGCATAATCTTCAAAACCTCATCCTTGAGGGATGCCCCCAAGAAAAAGTCAATGATCTCGGATTCCTGCGAGAAATGAGAATTATGACATAAACGTTAAAACACCATCTAGCCCTACCCCGTAGCTCAGTTGGTTAGAGCACCTTCCAGATAGGCCAAGGTTGTGAGTCTGATCTCATCAGGGAACATACAAGAATCAACCAATTACATAAAAAAGTAGAACGAATTGATGTTTCTCTCTCTACCCTCCTCTCTAAAATCAGCAAGTAAAGAATTTAAAGACGAACTTAAGGATTAACTAAGTAAAACAAAATAGAATAAACATCTGTGAACATCAGTCATTGGAAGGCTTCAGCTGACTTCCTTGCTGAACTGGTATTCTTGTCCACATTCTCTCTACAAGTTGATAACGTCAAAGCCGGGCCACCCATACACTCACACGACCTCTCAAACATAAAGCCGAGGTCAGCCCCTCAATGGCCCGGCAATAAATCTCATCCCTCCACCCTATGCCAAATGAGACTCCTCAAGGCTGCACCTGCCCAATACCTCAACAAGGAATAAAAGACCCACGCGTCACCTTGATTGGCAGGGAGAAAAGATAGATCTCCTCCAGGGACTTGATCTTCATGTCCTTGACCAGGCGGCCCAGTTTGGTGACGGGGATCCACTGGAGAGAAAAGGCGCCGATGACGGGGCTGACTACCCAGTGCCGCCCACGGGGAAGTATCCCGCGCATGGCCCGGACCTACCTCCTTGTCCTCCGCCTTGCCTCCGCGAGCTCCGCGGCCGCGACCCCGGCCCCGACCCCGGCCGCGACCCCGGCCCCGGATGCCGCTGCCAAATCCTCCACGGAAGCCTCCGCGGCCTCCCATTCCAGGGCCCCCGGGGCCCCCGGGCCCTCCCGCAGCACCGGCGTCATCCGCCATTTGCTGAAAAGCGACAAAAAAGAGTCAGTAAGGCATTTGCGGTCGCCCGGAATGGCGCTCCCGCCTGAGATTGGGATCACGCCAGCCCAGGTCCAACCCGATGTCCGCGGATTCCCGCCGCAGAGCGCCCCCTCCCCCCCCGCCCCCGCGAGCCGCACACACAAGAGCGGACACTCACGTGTCTCCTCGGGAAAGAAGAGCAAAGATTTCTGGGAGGGAAATTTTATATGGCACCAAGTACCGCGAGAACTAAACTGCACCGCCCCATCACGAGTGTTCCGAGGACCTGTAAGAAAGTCTGTGATTGGCTTCTTGGGGCCCGGTCCCGCCGGGCTCTACGCGCGTCATCGCGTCTTGGAGGCTGCTGCCCCGGAATCTGAGTGACTGCAGAGGTGCTATAAATGCAGGCGCCCCCGCGTTGGCGCCCTCTTGAGCTCCAGGTAGGTGAAGTTATCTACTTTTTGGGTTCTATGCGTCGCTGGGTGGTGCTCGGGAGATCGGCGTTGGTTGAAAATCACCTGCGGCTTTTGCCGTGGCCGTGGGTGAGATTCGGCGCCCAGAGCCATCGGGGCCTCAGCTCACTGCCCACTCGTGTGGGGAGGTGAAACCCAGGCCCCTACACGCGCCGGGACTCCGGGCCGGTGCTGCTGCTCGGGTGCTATGGTGTCAGATACCTGACCCCGTTTTTCTGCCCACAGGACGCCTGGATGCCCCAAGCCTGAGGCCGAAGCCGCCAGGACCGTGGGGTAGGGGTTGCTTCAGTGTCTTCATCTTTCAATAAAGCTATTGGTCTTGATAGAAGTAAACTGCCATTTCAGAAAAAAACAAGTACCCAGGAGATAACCAGACCTTTTTGCTTCCTGCTTCTGTAAGCTGCTTATCGCTCTCACATCTAAAGAATGTCTGCTCAGCTTGCTATAAAGCTAGGTGCGCCCTACAACTTGGTGCCCAGAATTTGGAGACTGCCTCCTCTGGGTCCGCATGCGTGAATAAAAGAACCTCTTCGCTTCCTCTGGCGTTCCAAATCTTCTGTAACAGTCTAACTCATGTTGGCATGGGTGTTTTTGGTCCCTTGCTCGTCAGCCTGGAAAATCTGTTGATGCTGGGATCAATGTGTGCTGTGAAGGGAAGACTTATGGGGGACATCTTTTTCTCCCAACCAGCCCTATTCTACTTCAGATGCCACACGGGTAAAACTTGGAATCTCTAAGGTTGGTGGGTGACTACAGCCCCACACCCCATACCTTCCGCATCAGCAGATGATGTATCTTGAGTTCGATGGGAGTCAGGTTGGGACTGCTAACCACTAGCAAAGGAAAGGAGTGTCAGATTCACAATTCAAATGGTGGCTCAGTTGCACTGAGCACAGGGTTAGGGTCTTTAGAATTTGAGGAACTCACTGCTCTGTGGTATAGAAACACTCGTCTCTTCTGTGCTTTACATGTGCCAACATGCTGGTTTCTCAGGTTGGAATTGATTTCTCTATGCCTTTCTCATAGGCCTCAGATCCTAAGACTAAGACTCTTGGAGATCTAGCTACCAGGGCAGCACTATTTTAGGAGAGAGAGCGAGGGGAACAATCCCTGCATTCCTGCTAAAGTCTCAGTCTTGGGGATACTGCCCCTAGAAGCTTGGTTCCTGGCCTAGTGCTGCTTGGGGATCAGCTCTCAGCCACCATCAAGGCAGAAGCTATAGGGACCTGTCCCAGGTCCGGGCTACCCTATCCCTCATCTGTGCCCCTTTAGAGAAGGAGAGTAAGCTAGGTATTGTAGAATCCCAGTGGGCCCTGGACCGGGGCTGTGATTGGCTTGAGTTGGACAATGCCACTGTGATGTCAGCCCACTCCCACTGTGAAATGGAGGCTCCTCAGCCCCAGGGGTCAGGAGCTGCCATCTAGACACAGATCATGGTGAGCCCAAGACCCTCTTGCCTTTGGCCCTTTGATTTGTGTCTAACTCCAGAGCTGGACCCCAATTCTCACACTGAGAAAGGTTGCACAGTGGGTTACAAGCTCCCAAATGGAACAAGAGAACCATTCAGAGGACTCTGGCCAAGAATAACTAGGCCAAGGCCAGCTTCTCCAGCTGGGAATTAATATTCTAGGGTCTTGACCCTCACAGCTGCCCCTTCAAGTGGGCAACCCTCCACTTGGGTCTCTCATGTGGCCCACCTTGCCACCCAAAGCTTGCTGGGGTCTCCCTCTGGGCTTATGGAGTGGGTGACCAGATCCTGGTCCCATCCAGGCCCTGATGTTGGCCTGGCCTTTTCAGAGCGGTGGATATGATCTCAACCTCTTCACCAGCCCTCCTGACAGCAATTTTCTGTGCTCTGTCTGCCATGGGGTTCTCAAGAGGCCAGTGAGGTTGCCATGCAGCCACATCTTCTGCAAGACGTGCATCCACCGGTGGCTAGCCAGGTGCTACTGGGTTCCCAAGAGGCTGGGAAGGCAGGGGTGGGGATGAGGGCCGCTTCCTGTATCCCAAGACAGGAAGGTCTGCAAAGCCATGAGTCATGGCCATAAGATTCAGCTGCTAAATCCCCTGAGACTGAAATATGTGGGTCACCTCACCCTGTGGTATCTGCAGCCCCTGGTCCAGGCCTCAGCCAAGAGGTCCCTATAAAGGCCTCTCATGTCTTTTCCAGCTAGAGAGAAAGGACCAACATGTTGCTGCCAGTTAACTCCCTTCCCAATCCCAACACTCACCCCCACTCGCCTCCTAGACAAAAGACTTGTCCGTGCTGCAGGAAAGAGGTGAAACGAAGAAAGATGGTCCATGTGAATAAACTCCGAAAGACCATTGGCCACCTGGAAGTTAAGGTAGTTCAAAGCACTCCTTGCCCTTTTTGGGGCGTGGGGGAGCAGAGCCCGGAGAGGAGGCAAGGAGAACCCCACCCTCAAAGGGAATTGAGGGTTTCTACTCCAGCAACACAGATTATACAGACTTGGGGTCATCAGACCTAGCTGAGTTGTCTCATCTGTACCATTTACTTGCTGTGTGAGTTTGAGCGAGCTACATAACCTCCCTGTCCCTGGGGCGTCAAATGTAAAATGGGGATTACAGAAAATGTTTACAGGATGATGTATCTGCTATGTCTGCTATTAACCTTCCAGCTCCCTAATTTTACAGATTGGAAAACTGAGGTTTAAAAAAAAAAAAAAGGCTGGCGTACATGCCTACATACAACCCACTAGACCAACTCAGCCATGTACCTCCCAGTTTACCAAGCCTTAGGCCCTGACACTCTCCTCTCAAAGATCTAGATTCTTCCCACCTCTAAGCACCTGTACAATTGTTTCCTTCTGTCCACTTCATTGGTGCCTTAAAAGCTTGGGAGGCTCCCAGTTATTTCACTGGTTCCTAGTGAGTGGACTATATGTCACGGAAGGGGGATTCTCAAGGGCTGGCAACGCCCGACCTGGTTTGGCTCATGATGAACCTCTCCCTGACCCCTAGTGCAAGAATGCCGAAGCTGGCTGCTTGGTGAGGTGCCCCCTGGCCCATCGCAAGGGGCACCAGAACTCATGCCCTTTCGAACTAATGGTCTGTCCCAACGAGGGCTGCATGGCACGAATGGCACGTGGGGCCCTGGCCGAGCACCAGCAGCACTGCCAGCATGGTACCCAGAAGCTCTGCCCCCAGAGCTGCGGGGTGACCCTGGACCCCACTGAATGTGTATGCCACAACTGCCACGGAGAACTGCGTGAAGCCTGGGGCCAGCGCCAGGAGCGCAGCCAGACCCTGGTGCTGTGCCTGCTACAGCACGTGCGCAAGGTGCATCGCACGACCAGCCTCATCCGCCAGCAGTTGGCCCAGCTAGGAAGCTTCCTGGAGGAGGATGCACTGCTTCTTGGCAACTGGCGAGAGGATGCCCAGGTTACCACAGAAGGCAGCACTGGGGCTGAGATGTGTGGGGTCCAGAGCCAGAGTACCTTGTAAATTAAGGGTAAATAAACACAAGCCCTAAATTGGCTCACCCCTGCATCTCTGTGCTTGCAGCCCTCCACCTCTGCAGACAATATTCCCTTCACCCTACAGGTACATTTTGCCCTCTCTCCCTCCACCTCTCCCAAGTTCTTTCCCACCACTGGATCTTAACACTGGCTATTCTCCCTGCCCAAAGGCTCTTTCCCTCATTCTCATTTGCCTGACGTCTTGTCTTTCCACTCAAATGAATGTCTCGTTAAAAGGTTTTTCCCAGTCTTATTCCCAGTTACTTTCTAGCAATCTGCTTATCAGCTTCATAGCTAGTAGCACAAATGGCTCAAATTCCTGAGCTCAGAGTAAAAGCCAACTCATCCCAGTGACTCAAAGGGTACCCCCATTATCTTTGACCTCCTCTCCTTATAATTCTCCTCCCTACTCACTCCCAGAAGCTGCAGGGCTTCTGTTGCTCCTCCTAACACTAGGCCTGTGGCACTGGCTGTTCCTTAGCCTGAAGTACTGTTCCCCTGACAGCCACAGAGCTCCATGTTTCATCGATTTCAAGTTTTTGTTCAGGTGTTACCTCCATGAAGCCTCCACAACCCCATTTATAATTGCACCCCCTGCCCTGGCTGGGTAACTTAGTTGGTTAGAGTGTTGTCTGGATATGCCAAAGTTACGGGTTTGATCCCAGGTGAGGGCACATATAAGAAGCAACCAATGAATGCATAAATAAGTGAAACAACAAATCGATGTTTCTTTCAAATCAATGTTTCTTTTAAATCAATAAATAAAAAATATGCAATTGCACCCCCTAAACTCCACTCCAACCCTCATCATTTCTTTCCACAGCACTAATCATTTAACTGTCACAATCATTCCTTGCCCTTCCACCCAGTCCCCACCCCACTAGCATGTGACCAGTTACTTTCTAGCAATCTGCTTATCAGCTTCATAGCTAGTAGCACAAATGGCTCAAATTCCTGAGCTCAGAGTAAAAGCCAACTCATCCCAATGACTCAAAGGCAGGGTTTTTTGTTTTCTGGAGTTTCCCTAGTGCCTAGAAAGGTGCTTTGCACACAGAATGTGCTCAAATATTTAAATGACTCTGAAATTACCTGATTTATTAATTTACCTGGGTTATTTCTCATACCAGGCCGTGGGCCCCAAGGCTTTAATTACCCTCGGACTCGCTCACTCCCAAACTCCAGACTTCGGAAGGGACAGGATCCCTGGGATTACTTTAACATTTACTTAAATATTCCCTATTAATGCCTTTCTAAATTTCCATTACAAGACCAAATATACAGATGATGTATTATAGAAGAAACCTATATAATTTTATTATCCAATGTCACTCCAATAAATTCAGCCCTGGTCAGTTTTTTATTTTTATTTTTCCTTTATTGATTTTTAGAGGGAGAGGGAGTGAGAGAGAGAAACATCGATGAGAGAGAGAAGAGAGAACATCGATTGGCCACTTCCTGCATGCCCCCCACTGGGGATTTGGCCCACAACCTGGGCATTTGTATGACCGGAAATCAAACTGGTGACATTTTGGTGCATGGCTCCATGATGAACCACTGAGCTACACAGGCCAGGCAGCCCTGATTGGTTTGGCTCAGCAGTTAGAGTGTCAGCCACAAATGAAGGGTCATGGGTTCGATTCCCAGTCAGGGGTGCTACCTAGGTTGCAGGTTAGACCTAGGGGCCTGTAGGGGTCATGTGGGGAAGGCAACCAATTAAATTGATGTGACCTCACATGTTTCTCTTTCTCCCTCCTTCCCTTCCACTCTATCTAAATATCAATGGAAAAATAGCCTCAGGCCCTGGCCGGTTGCTCAGCGGTTAGAGCACTGGCCTGTGGTCCAGAGAGACCCGGGTTCGGTTCCGCTAAGGGCATGTACCTCGGTTGCAGTTTGTCCCCGGCCCTGGTTGGGTCGTGTGGGTGGCGGCCACTCGATATGTCCCTTTCACGTCAATGTTTCTCTCTCTTCCTCCTACTCTATCTGAATAAAATATGGAAAAATGTCCTGGGGTGAGGATTAAAAAAAAAAAAAAAATCCTCAGGTGAGGATTAACAACAAAAAAAGTAAACTCAATAAAAAAGAAAATATAATAAAATAAAAAGACAGATCGCCCTGGCAAGTTTTGCTCAGCGGTTAGAGCGTCGGCCTGCGGTCCAGGAGATCTGGGTTCGGTTCCCGCTAAGGGCACGTACCTCGGTTGCAGTTTGTCCCCGGCCCTGGTTGGTCGTGTGGGTGGCAGCCACTCGATGTGTCCCTTTCACATCGATGTTTCTCTCTCTCTTCCTCTCCCTCCCTCCCACTCTGTCTGAACAAAAAAATGGAAAAATGTCCTTGGGTGAGGATAAAAAAATAATAATAAAAAAATTAAATTAAAAGAGGGATAGCTAGTTTACGCAGTGCCCTGCCAGTCTATCCCACCGGTTCTAGCCAGAGTACAACCAAACTTCCACGCAAGAAACAACCTCTGCCAGCTTCCGCTTCCTGATGCAAGCTGCCACTGCCCACAACAAAGATGTCGCGTGTTCCGCGGTGCTGATAACGTCGCAGTAGCGGGTGGTGACGTCACTGAAGCGCGCCAGCAATTCAGATCGGCGCACGGGCGTTCCTCACGCGGTGGCGACTGCGGCGGCATTGGCATTGGCATGGAGGAGGCTGCGGCCGGACTGAGCCGCTTCAAGGCCAAGTGAGCTGGGGCGCTGAGGTTGTGGGCTCCGCCCGGGGAGGGAACCGAGCTCGCACCCGCACCCAGAGTAACGAAGGCGCCCGCCGCGGACCGAGTGTTCATGCGGTTTGGGGAGGCGGTGAGGGATGGGTACGGACGGGTCCGTGGGGTTGTGGCGGCTGCAATATTGTAAGGTGGGAGAGCCAGCAATGACTGCTCTCGGGGAGTGGGTACTGGACCCCGATCGGGCGTCGCCACTTAAACTAGGAGCCAGTTTGGGGTGGGGACGAGAAATCCCGGAGAAGGAGAAGGGGGCGGGCTGAACACAAATGGAGGCTGGTCCCGGACGGGCGCGGGACCTCTGACACAACCCCCCACCCACCTACCCAGAGTAGCAGAGAAGAACCACCTTTGGGTCAGGCGGCTGGGCGCTTTCACCTGCTGTCCCTCTTCTCCAGGGAGCAGGAAGAGAGGTCAGGAGACAGCCCCGTCAGCGGTGGCCGAGGAAGCCCTGAATCCTGTTCTTATTCGATCCCCAAGCCTCTGCTGAAGATATAAGTGTTTAGTGTCCCAAAAGGGATAGACTCAGCCCTGCCTGTGGAGTGCAGTATGATGGGATGTGTTAAGCAAATCATTTTCATCAGTGGCTGTGACAAGCACTAGCAGAATAAATGCGAGTGGATGGTCTGCTGGTCTCGGGAGTTGGAGGCTTTGTTTCATCTTGGCAGTAAGGCTTCCCCTAGTGGGATTAGTCAGGCGCCATTGAAAATTGGCAAGAAAGATCCAGGCCACGGACAGGGAACAGCTTGTTTGAAACAGGAAAGGTTAGCAGTGGCCCCTTTGGGCAGGACCTTGAAAACATGTAAAAAGAGGAGATGGTTTTAAGGCAGAGTAGTGACCTAAATAGAGTAAATAGAGTAATGTTCTAACAGGCTTTTTTTGGCAGCAGGGTTTGAGAGGGTGGGTGGGGGTGTGGTGAAGAGACTGGAGCAGCTCTCCAGAGAGCATGGTGCAGTGACCTGGAGCAGCATGGAGGCAGCTGAGAAGGAAGGAATAGGGCTGCTTGGGGACTGAGATGCAGGCCAGACTAGGGATGGAGGAAGGAGGAAGTGTTGGGGAAGGGTTCAGGCTGGACCTCAGGGATGATGTTGAGGATGTTGCCATAGGCTCTTAACCAGGCCTGGCCTCCTATGGCCAGCAGGGGGCCCCCAAGGTCTGGCCTGATCTGCACTGGGGAATCTCTGGGAACACTGGGCTGTTGGACAGCATGTGTTGTTATGGGACCCTCTATGGATCACCAACCCAGCTCTGTGTCTCAAATATTCTGTAACAAGGGGGTACCAACACCCACCTCACAACAGTGAAAAGAGGCATCACCATCACCACCCCATTCCTACTGTTGTCTAAGAACTCAATTACAGGGGCCTATTGGGAGAGTACCCAGCCCAGGGCTTGGCACTGGGGACCAAGGGGTGGTGATTCACTCTCTTCCTCTGTCCTCCCTCCAGCTATGCTGTCGAGCGCAAGATCGAGCCTTTCTACAAGGGCGGGAAGGTGCAGGTACCAGTTCAGGGAAGGGCAGAGTGGTGGGGCAGGCAGGGGCTTCAGAGTGTTACCTTGGCTGAGACCCCCTTTCTCACCAGCTGGACCAGACTGGGCAGCACCTCTTCTGTGTCTGTGGTACCAAAGTCAACATCCTAGATGTGGCCTCAGGGGCCATGCTGCAGAGCCTGGAGCAGGTAAGGGCAGGGAGAGCCAGGGTTAAGGACTAGTGTGGAAAAGAAGCCTATTCTCATGGCACTCGTTGTGCTCACTTTTGCCCCTAGGAAGACCAGGAAGATATTACTGCCTTTGACCTCAGTCCTGATGATGAGGTATATGGGGCAGGGACAGGAGGTGGGCTCCAATACTTCCCAACCAAACTTTGTTTCTATGACTAAGGATAGCCATGCCTCTACCCACCCTTCCAGCTAAACTACATTCTCTCCCAGGTGCTAGTGACAGCCAGCCGGGCACTGCTGCTGGCTCATTGGGCTTGGCGAGAGGGCAGTGTCATCCGCCTGTGGAAGGCTATACACACAGCCCCTGTGGCCTCCATGGCCTTTGACCCCACTTCCACGCTGCTAGCCACAGGTAGGGCCCCAGCTGGGTGGGTGGGCTGGCAGGTGGGCACATGGGCAGGGGACTTTGGGCACACCAGCTCTCTCACAAACACATTTCCACAGGCGGCTGTGATGGGGCTGTACGTATCTGGGACATCGTGCGGCACTACGGGACACATCACTTTCGGGGCTCACCAGGTGTTGTGCAGTGAGTAGGGACGGCAGAGACTGGGTGGTGAGTGGGACATCACACTGAGATGGCATAACTCACTGCCCCATCTACCCGCCTGCAGTTTGGTGGCCTTCCACCCGGATCCCGCACGCCTGCTGCTCTTCTCCTCAGCCACAGATGCCGCCATCCGCATATGGTCATTACAAGACCAGTCATGCCTGGCTGTACTGACTGCCCACTACAGTGCTGTCACCTCGTTGACCTTCAGTACTGATGGCCACACCATGCTCAGGTAAGCAGCCAGCTACTCAGGCCTTAGCAGGCAGGGGAGGACCATGGCTGAGACTCCGGAACTGAGGTGGTTGTTCCTCCCAGCTCAGGCCGGGACAAGATCTGCATTGTCTGGGACCTGCGGAGCCACCAGACGCTGAGGACCATCCCTGTGTTTGAGGTGGGGCACCTGGGGGGTCAGGGCCAGTGAGTGGGATGGGGCTGGGGGTAGAGCTGCCACCTCTGACCTGCTCTTCCTCAGAGTGTGGAGGCCGCAGTGCTGTTGCCAGAGGAGCTGGCACCCAAGCTGGGTGTGAAGTCTACAGGCCTATACTTCCTGACAGCTGGCAGCCAAGGTGTGTGGGGCCAGGCCAGGGCAGGCAGCAGAGACTGGGGGTGGCCCATGGACCTGTGAGTCCCAGCAGCCTCTGTCCCTGCACAGGCACACTGCGCGTGTGGGAGGCAGCCTCTGGGCAATGTGTACACACACAACAGCAGTTGCCAGGCCCTGGGCGGGAGCTGACCCATTGCACCCTGGTCCGAGCCGCTGGCCTGCTCCTCACTGTCACTGCTGACCACAACCTTCTGCTCTACAAAGCACACTCCCTGAAGCTGCAGAAACAGGTGAGCACTGCCCCCTGGTCAACCTGTGGCCTGGGTGTGCTGGCCCTCTTCTCACATGGGCCCTGGCTTGTGTCTCTCCACCCTGCAGTTTGCTGGGTACAGTGAGGAAGTGTTGGATGTCCGGTTCCTTGGGCCTGAGGACTCCCACATTGTTGTGGCCTCCAATAGCCCCTGCCTGAAAGTATTTGAGCTACAGACATCGGCCTGCCAGATTCTCCATGGTCACACAGGTAAGGGTGCCAGGCCAATGCCCCTGATACCTTTTTTCTGCCAAGGGCCATTTGGATATTTATACATCATTCTTGGGCCATACAAAGTTATCAACTTAAAAACTAGCCTGCTATATTTGGTCAGGCATGTGATGTTAGCTGGTATTGATTTCATGGGCCTTAAATGGCCCGCAGGCCAGATGTTTCCCATCCCTGCTTTGGGGACCGGCCACAGCTTCACAGTGCAGTCCTGGCTGCCTGTCACCAAGAAGGTCTCCTTCAGCCTGAAGCCCAGTTGGGAAGAGGGGGGAAACATTCTCCCTTCCACTTTTCTGACCATTCTTCCACTTTTCTTTCAGACATTGTCCTGGCCCTGGATGTGTTTCGGAAGGGGTGGCTCTTTGCCAGCTGTGCCAAGGTGAGGTACCCCAAGAGGTGTGGAGGTGAAGGTCCCCAGTGGAAAAACCTGGCCCAGCCTCTGTCCTCACCCTTCCTGTCCCCAGGACCAGAGCATTCGCATCTGGAGGATGAACAAGACCGGCGAGGTGACCTGTGTGGCTCAGGGCTCTGGGCATACACACAGTGTGGGCACCATCTGCTGCTCTAGGTATTAGATCCAGGCTGGGGTCGAGAGCATCATGGACATGGAGGCCTAGGCCCTGCTGATGGAGTTCCAGCTCAGGGAGACGGGGAGGAATAGGAGGTGCCTTTGGCCTTGTTCTTTGAAGCTTCAGCCTAAGGATCTAGAATAAAGAAAGCCCAGAACTCCCCAGGTGCCATTGTTGCGGGGGGTCCTCGGAAGTGGCCTTGGGGCTGGGTGGATAAAAGGGGAAGGGAGGTTGGGGCAGAGGGAATAACAATGAACAAGGTCCAGGTGGAGAAGATGCTCCCTGCATTTAGGGCTGGGAGTCCTGTTATTGGGACAAAGTTACCCGGTGTGGCAGCACCAAGGGCAGGCAGTGTGGGCTTAAGTGCAGGCAAGTGGTCCTAGAGGTGTATTTGTGTGACAGGCCATGTGGTCTGGACCTGCAGGTCTGAGCTGTGGTGCATTGGCTGACAGGGCTGGCAAGGGCTTAACATGTGTTCTCCCCCTCCCCCAAATTGGGCTTTAGGCTGAAGGAGACCTTCTTGGTGACAGGCAGCCAGGACTGCACTGTGAAGCTGTGGCCTGTCCCCAAAGCCCTGCTGTCCAAGAGCACAGCCTCAGACGGTGGCCCTGTCCTCCTACAGGCCCAGGCGACACAACGTTGCCACGACAAGGTGACCATACACAGTACACTGGGGTGGCAGTGTGGCAGGGTCTTCACTGTGATGGGGATATCTAAGCTGCTGCCTGTTGCCATCACCAGGACATCAACAGTGTAGCTGTTGCTCCCAATGATAAGTTGTTGGCCACAGGCTCGCAGGACCGCACAGCCAAGCTCTGGTCACTGCCGCAGTGCCAACTGCTGGGCGTCTTCTCAGGCCACCGGCGTGGCCTCTGGTGTGTCCAGTTCTCACCTATGGATCAGGTGCTGGCCACTGCCTCGGCTGATGGCACTGTCAAGCTCTGGGCATTGCAGGACTTCAGCTGCCTTAAGGTAAGCTGCCCCTACCACAGGCCTGGCCCCCACCCCAGGCCTGTCCCCCACCTGATACCCATCCCATTCCCTCCCTGTCCCAACCCTGCAGACGTTCGAAGGGCATGATGCTTCTGTGTTGAAGGTGGCCTTTGTAAGCCGTGGTACACAGCTGCTGTCCAGGTGAGTGGGCTGGGGACAGGGCAGGGGTTGGTGTAGGCTGGGGGCCAGGCCCCAGTGCTGAGCCCCCTCGCAATCCCAAACCCAGTGGCTCTGACGGGCTTGTAAAACTCTGGACCATCAAGAACAATGAGTGCATTAGGACACTGGATGCCCACCATGACAAAGTCTGGGGACTTCACTGCAGCCGGCTGGATGACCGAGCTCTTACTGGTGCCAGCGACTCCTGTGTCATCCTCTGGAAGGTGTGTGGACATTGGTGTGGTGGGCAAAGAGTGGGCAGGGCAGCATGGGGTTCCATTCTGACCCTGATCCTGATCCCAGGATGTTACCGAGATGGAGCAGGCAGAGGAACAGGCCAAGCGAGAGGAGCAGGTGGTCAAGTAAGTCTGGAGGGTCCCCCCCTGCTTTCTTGTGCGTGCCACCCATGTGTCTGGCACCTTCCATGCATTCACCTCGCCCCTGATTTACAGCATGGGGAAACTGAGGCTGGGAGAGGCGACATAGCTTACCATCAGTGAATGTTCAGACCCGGTCCGCTGACTCCTGAGCTAGCCCCCTGACAGCTCTGCCTTCAGCCCTCGCCCCATGGCCCTGTCCTCTTTCCTTCCCCATCCAGGCAGCAAGAACTGGACAACCTGCTCCAGGAAAAGCGGTACCTGCGGGCACTGGGCCTGGCCATCTCCCTGGACCGGCCCCATACTGTGCTGACTGTTATCCAGGGTCAGTGCTGCCTCAGGGGCCTAACAGGCAGCAGTGGAGGGAGGGGAGTCCTCTCAGGTCCATCCTGCACCTTCCCTGGGGCTTATCTTCCCTCCTCCCTCAGCCATCCGGAAGGACCCCGAGGCCTTGGAGAAGCTGGAAGCCACAGTACTCCGACTTCGGCGAGACCAAAAAGGTTTGGGGCAGCTGGGTAGAGGCTGGACAGTGGCTTATGTGGGTGAGGTGGCCAGCAGACAGGTCTGACCATCCCTATAACCCCAGAGGCCTTGCTGCGCTTCTGTGTCACGTGGAACACCAACTCTCGGCACTGCCATGAAGCCCAGGCCGTGCTGGGTGTGCTTCTGCGGCACGAGGCCCCAGAAGAGCTGCTGGCCTATGAAGGTGTGCAGTCCTCACTTGAGGCCCTGCTGCCCTACACAGGTACATGGACATGGCCCCAGGTGGGGGGGGAGTAGAATGGCCAGACTCTATGGACTGCCTGACAGCCTCTGTCATCCTCAGAGCGGCACTTTCAGCGGCTCAGCCGGACCCTGCAGGCAGCCACCTTCCTAGACTTCCTGTGGCACAACATGAAGCTGCCCACCCTCCCCGCAGCCCCCTCTGCCCTCTGAAACACGCAGAAGGTGTACTTTTCTATCCCAGCTCCGTGTGTCTGTTTGGGCTTTGTCTCATCCCAGGTCCCAGCCCACAACTTTGGCCAAACACCATCCCTGTGCCTTGGACTGGCTATAATCCAACAGGCCCTGCTCTCAGCATGAACACTGAGTGTGGGTTCATCAGAGCTTTACTCAGAGGAAATAGAGTGTAGCCTTCTGGCCCCACCAGCCAGGGAGTCCCCCCTCAAATGTGCCCCCCCTGCCCTGAGGGCCGTATGGCTGCCATCAGTCATCCCTGGGGTCTGGAGCCTCTGGCCTGCCGCTCCAGCAGTGGGATGCACAACGCAGCTCTCCGTGTAGTTCACACTCCTTCAAGGATAACCTTGACGCCATGGGACCCTCCCCAGTGCCCTACGGGTGATGGTGCAGCAGCGGCTCTGAATGGCATTCAGCAAGGGGCGGGTGGGCACAGTAGGGGGAAGGGTCATGGCCTGGGGGGACTTAGGGGAGCTTTGGGTCTCCCCCACTCTGTTCTCCCCACCCTCTGCCCCAGAATGGAGCCTTGGTCCATTCAGAAGCACGCCTATCCTGTCTGGCTTCAGTAGCACAGAAGGGAGAAGACCTGTGCGGCCACCGAACCTACAAGGAGGGCAGGGTTTGGTTAGCACTTGGCCCTACCCACCCCCCCTTAGACTGTCCATCCCCTTCCCCCAGCAAAGCCCCACACCTGCACAGCCACCAGCCTCGGTCTGACATTTCCAGCACTTGCACTCTTGCCCCCGCCGGCACTGACAGCTCATCGGCCTGGCTGCCTTCGTAGGCTCGGGAAGCACAGAACTGGGAGCCTGGGAGTGGGCACTTGGTGGTTACCACAGGACTCCCATCTCTGTCCCCTCACGGATCTCTCACTGAATCCCCACCTCCAGGCTCTCTCTCTCGGAATCTCTGCTAATGCCAGGAAACACTCTAAAACCCACTGGGGATCCAGCCTGCTGTGGGGCAAGCACAGGCTAGGGGACTGCTGCCACCACCGAGCCAGCCCTTCCACAGCATCTCTCCCCTGGGTCAGCTGCTCCCTGTCACCCAGCCTTGCTGCACACTGCCCAGTGGTGGTGGCAGACATGGGGAAGAGGGTTAGTCTCATACCATTACTCTCTAGGGGCTGTCCCCTGTCTTGTCCCTGGCCCAGGGCCACTTCCTCCAAGTAGGGAGCAGGAAACCATGCCATCTGCTGGTCTTCATTAGCCACCAGCCACCAACCTGTGCAGGAAAGGTAGGGGTTCAGATCCCCAGCCATGCTGGGATCCTGGTGGCAGCAGGTCAAGTCCCCAGGCTCCTGCCCAGCCCCACCTGAGGGGTGTCGCAGCAGCACATTTAGGACCTCCTGGGCCTGTGCATGGAAGGGTTGGCCCCGTGAGTCCTGGGTGCTGAAGGGCTGGAGGCAGTGCAGGCTCAGAGTCACGAGGCTGCCCACAGGGTGAGGTAGAGGCTCTTCCAGGACTGGCAAGATCACCAGGCTGGAAAGGGTGGTGGTCACAGAAGAGAGGTGTGGGGAGCATGGGCTGCCATAACCTCATAAGGCCACCCAGCTTTGTACCTCCTAGGCCCTTTCTCCACCATTAAGCTCCCACCCTCCAATTGCTTCCTGCAGGGTGTTAGGGGTGGGGCAGGCAGGTACCTGCCAGGTGGCAGTGAGGGCTCCAGGTCCTGGGGCTGTGGTTCAAAGAAGCCAGTAAGCACTGGCCCACTGGACACCCGCTCTGCTTCTAGCAGCTTCTGAGAATAGGTCTCCAGCAACCGCAGGCGCACCAGGCCACGGCCCTTGCGCCCCCCTCGTGCCAACAGTGATGTGGATGCATCTGTGGGCACAACAGGGACAGACCTTGAATCCCCTTCCCCAGGGCTCCCACCATCAGGCCCCTCCTGCCCCTCCCAGGCTCCCTGTGGCCTGACCTGGAAACTTGGGGAAAACTCGATCAGATCTCTGCAGCAGGTCCTCCTCTACCCGGAAGGTCTCCTTGAGGATCTTCTAAGGACAAAAACTGGCGTATCGGTCTGGGAGTCCCTTGCTGGGATTGTAGGGGTCAGAAACTAGCATGGGCATGAGGGTAGGCATTACGGGGTGGGAGTGGGGGGTCATTCAGTTGGAGGAAGTCAGGTCACCCAGGCTTACTCACGTGGAGCCTCCTGAACTCGTCCCAGCTCCTTCGCACAAAGGTGTTGCTGTCATCAGACCAGTACACAGAGAAAGCGAATGTCTGTTGGAGGAAAGGCTAGGGGCACCTGGAAGGAACTGGACCATGGACTCCCTTCCCCCGCTCCCCATTTCCTCCCAAGGTCAGCAGGACCCAGATCTTACTTGGAGCCTCTCTGTCTGCACCAGAGCTGCTGCACGTACTGACACCGGGTACCTAGGGCCCACCATAGCTGTGGCCTCCGGTTGAGGTCCTAGGTTTCTGGAGCTAGCGCCGTGTGGTAGAGTATCCTGCTGACTCTAACCACACAGGGACTGGAGGTACTCCTGGGTACCCGGAAGACTGGCTGGAATTCCCCTGCTTACCTCAGACCTGCCAGGTCCTGGCAGCACTACCCTACCCCTATGTCCTGAGCTTCCTCACTGGGCCCCAAACTGAAGATCTGGGTGGAGGAACAGGAGCACGGGGCTTTGGGGTAGAAGGGGGAGTACAGAGGTGATGGAGGGGCTGTGACTGCTGCCTGGGGCCCTCCTGCACAAATCTATCTGGCCACCAGAGATGAAGGAGGAAGCGCCATCAAAGTGCCGCCAGGCCTGGCCCACCCTCCCTGCTCTCCCACACCCTGCGTAATGCTGGGATTGGTGAGAGCCTCCTGATAGGGTGTGCCCCACGGCACTCTGAACTTGCCTGGACAGCTAACACAGTTGTCATCAGGAACGGCTTAATCCTCACATTGGAGGGAAGGTCTCTTAATGTCCCCAAGTCACAAAAGAGGAAATTTGTGGTAAGTGGATAATGTCAGTTTTTCTGTATGTGTTAGGCTGGGTCGGACCTCCACAGGCTCACCCCCAAGGTTTCCCTCCCTGTGGTGGTCCATCTCTAGTCACCGTCACTGTTTTAAGAGCTGCCTCTGAGCTCATTATTACAAGTTATTGCAAACACAGTCTCTGAGGTCAGGAGTGACCATTCCCCCACTGGGGTGGTGAGAAGACTATAATCCCCAGAGGGTGTACCCAGATGCCCCACAATTTTGGGGCATTTCTGGAGCCCCACCTAACATTGGCACACAGTGCTTCCTCCTGCTGTTGAGGCCACCAGTTCTGTGTTGGGACCCCTATCCCACCCCAAGCCCTTCAAGGAGGGGCAGTGTATAGGGCATCCCTCCAGGAAATTACCATGGCCTAGACAAAGGGCTTTTGTGTATCTCTCCAGCGGCTCTCTCTGAAGCTTTCAAACCTTCCCTGGTCTTGGCCTGGATAATGAACATCTGCTGGCATAGGCCTGATTTGCAGAGTGCCTTTAGTAGGGGCCATAATGAGAGCACCTGAGCTGGTGGAATCCAGGTTGGAACAGACCCTGCTCCTCTTGAAGACAAAGGATAGAAGCTAGGGAAGGGCCAATTTACTAAACAGCAGGGACCTAAGAGGCTGCTAAGGCCCCCTCAACTAACCCACTGATAACCCCTGCTCCACACTCCCCACAACCATGGATCTTTTCCACCCTCCCTCTTCATAGCCCCTACCCTTATCTCTCACCTGGACAACTACAACAGTCCACCCCCCCCCCACACACACACACACACAATTCCATGCTCCTCACTTGCTCCCATGAAGTTGACTCTCCAAAGGAATCTTTGCAAAACAGAAACAGAATCAGGTAGAGGGAGCCCTGCCCAAAACTGTCCAGTACCTTCCCGGTTCTTGGAATAGATTCCCAGTTCCCATGGCAACTGACAAAGTCCTAAGAGGGCACCCACCCACCTCTGGATTTCTCCTCCCCAAGTTCTGTCCCATTGGCCTTTCAGCCCATGCATGAAGCCAACCCTCCCACCCCCAGCCTTATCCTTGACTGCCCTTAGCAGGTTCCTCATCTTTCAGGCCTCTGCCTAAGCGCCACCTTGAGGCCACCTGAATTTACCATGCCCTGTTATGGCCCCCACCATAGTTTGTGAGTATTAGTGTAACTCCTTTTTTATTTTTTCTGTCTTGACCACTGAACTATGACCCTTTAGGGAGGTCAGGGCTGGATCTTGTTACCCGCCCTGCCCAGTGCCTGGAACAGTGCTTGGAATAGATGAGGCACTACACAGATATTTGCGGAATGACTGAGTGTACCTATGGAAGCAGAATTACTCCCGAGGCCACTCACTCCTGACGTGGGTTTAACTCCATGCAGGTTGAAAGATCCGGGGCAGCCTGGTTCGCGCTTAAGTCCAGAGACGCGCGCCGCGTCCTTTGCAGACACAGTCCCACCTGGGTTCGCGGTGCGCTCTTTGCCACGGCCCCGCCCAATGTTGCCATAGCACCGCGCAGGCGGCTGGTGGGCCGTGCCCCCAGTTGAAGGCACAGAGCCTGGCCACAGGCACGCGGGACTGTCAGAGCAGAGCAATGGGGGCGTCGAAGGCTGCAGCACGGTCTTCGACTCGGCCGCATTCCGAGTCCACCGCGCGGCCGCGGCGCAGCTTCCACAACACGCTGCTCTTCTACTGGAGGAAGCGAGAGCATTGCCATGGACCTTCCCAGCCGGGATCGGGTCGCGGAACTAGGCCCAGGGTCCTGGCCAGCACCCGGGCCTCGGGCTCTGCCTCTTCCCGAGTGCAGGCCCCAGCTTCCAGCCCCGCCTCCTCGCCGAACTCCGACTCCAGCCCCAACCCCAGCTCAGGCCCGGCCTCCGCACCGAAGGTCAAGGTGCGCACGCTGGGCTCCCGTGGCCGCGCCCGGGCGGCGGTGTGCGCGCTGGCCTGGAGGCCGATTTGAAGGCCGTCCTGGAGGCCGGGCTGGCCCGGCAGGCATTGCGCGGGCAACATGGCGGCGCCCAGCGAACGGGGGCGCTTCGGTGGCGGGAACCTCTTCTCCTTCTTGCCCGGCGGCGCGCGCTCCGAAGCAATGGAGGACCTGGTGACGGATGCGCGTGGCCGGGGAGCGGGACGGAGAGATGCCGCCGCCGCCTTGGCCCCGACTCCAACCCTGGCGCCGACCCCCGACTCTCAGGTCGCTGAGGACACCTCCCGGAGACGGCACTGCCGTGCCTGCGTGGACTTCAAGTCATGGATGCGGACGCAGCAGAAGGTGCAGAGGGCGCCACCTCTCCGACGAGGCTCGCGAGACTTGCCCACCCCTAGCACCGGCCTGAACACTACTCCCCCTCCCTGTCCCCCCCCCCCACACACACCTTATTCTAAGGCGCCCGGGGCAGACCTCCCGACGCCCAGGCCGAGCGGTCCCACAGGTCCTATGCCTGACAGACTTATGCCCCCCAGGGTTGGCTGTTCCTGAACCTTTCCCCCAAGGTAGGCCGGGCCTTTAGGCTTTTAGCCTCACGTGGGCCAGATCTGCAGCAGGACTATTGTCTGAAGTCAGTGGGCCTCAGGCTGGGGAGGGGAAAAGGGGAACTTCTCAGGTTTTTGGTAGGGGGACACCGAACTGACTCATGGTCGGCCTCCTTCCGCAGCGTGACAGCAAGTTTAGGGAAGATTGTCCACCGGATCGTGAGGAACTGGGCCACCACAGCTGGTCTGTCCTCCACACCCTGGCTGCCTACTACCCTGACCTGCCCACCCCAGAACAGCAGCAAGACATGGCCCAACTCATACATTTATTTTCCAAGTTTTACCCCTGTGAGGAGTGTGCAGAAGACATAAAAAAGAGGTAAGTTATTCTGTACCGTCTGCAGGCAGCAACACCCCTGGAGCCTAGGCCTGGAGCCCCTGACTGATGTCATAAAGGAGAGCCTAGAGAAATGGCAGAGGTGTTGCCAAGAGCAGGGATCACCAACAGAGTGGGGATTGGATCATCTGAGCCATCTCTCTCTACTCAAAGGCCAAGCAGCCTGGGGCTGCTACAGGCTGTTCCGTGGCCACAGGCCCCTGGGGAGGGCTTCCCTGGAGAGATCCCTTGCTTAGTGCTGATGGAGGATCTGGCAGGTTAAGGAGGACTCTATTTTGCCTGACTTCTGGAGCAGGACTGCTGGTTTCAAGATCTTGAGAATTCGCTGCTTTTGCTTACAAGAGCCACCTTTTTCTCATTAGATAGCCTACAAGCTGTCGTTAGGCATTTCTGGGCTGGATGTAGGGGTCATGGCAGCCCTTGCTATTTGAAGAGTGGGCAGTTAGAATGAGGTCTCTTGCTGAACTGAGGCACCCGGGGCCCATCGCTAAGAAACAAGTCTGATTTTTAGTTATGCCTTTGTGCAGGCCCCACCCTTTCCACACATTGCTTGGGGCCAGGGAAGCTGGGGTGAGGCTTCAGTGATTGTTATGAGATTGTAAAGTTGCCTGGTCTGTGTTAATGTCTTGCCCTAGGCTCTTGTCAGAGTTTATCAAGCTCCCCAAGTGAGGTTTTGAGCGGGCCTAGGAGCCCACCATGCCTGGACCCTACAGGATCAGCCCTGTTCTGGGAATTACTGTCTCTAAGAACATGAGGATACACCTGGGTGTAGCTTACAGCAGCATCCCATCTCTCCCTGGATTGAGCAGGCAGGGGCAGTGGGACCATGCCTGCCCTCATTTTCCATGTGCTCCCCCCCCCACAGGATATGTAGGAACCAGCCAGACACACGCACACGGGCATGTTTAACCCAGTGGTTGTGCCACCTGCACAATGAGGTGAACCGCAAGCTAGGCAAGCCGGACTTCGACTGCTCTAAAGTGGACGAGCGCTGGCGTGACGGCTGGAAGGATGGCTCCTGCGACTAGGGGGCAGCCAGCCAGAGCCCATGGGCTGCCTGCCTGGCCAGAGAGGGGCAGGGCACTCATTAAAGTGTGGCAGAGCCAGAGCCTGTTGTGTTTCAGTGGGTGTTCCCCAGCCACTGCCCATGGAGCCCTTTCCTTCTCAGGTTTGGAGTTGAAGTGGAGGTACCTGCTGCAGTCACCCCAATGGCCTCCTCCTCAGCCAAGTTCCTGTGAGACTGCAGGTGAAGGAGTAGAAATAGCCTAGGCTATCCCTTTTTTCAGAATGCAGCCTCCTGCCCACCCCACGCCCTGGTGCCCAATTCCCCACACAGGAATGTGATAGGCTTGGCTTGGCTGAGCTCCTCTATCCCATGGAGCTCTCAAGACCAGGCCATTGTCTCCCCCCTGTGTAGCTAGAGACATCCACAGTGACTTGCAGCCTCAAAGTCTGTGGGCTGTGTGCTATTTGCACTTGAAGAAAGAGGTCTAGGGACTAAGCTTTCCACCCTGCTCAGTCCCTACAGGGAGGGAAAGCGCAGGCGTGGTTCTTGCCTAACCCTGCAGCCCATTTTCTGTCCAGCACTTGGCCTTTCACAGCTGTACCAAGCTCATCAGAGGCTTCCTGGGATCAGCTTCCTTGGAGCTTGAAACAAAAATAAAATGCTAAGGAAGTGACTGAGAACCTGGCATCAATGCGTTTGTGTTGGGACCTGCAGTGATGGACAGCCTGCCCTCCTCTGTGGTCAGCTGCTTCCTCCTGTCCAGGTTCTGGCTCCTTAGGAGGAAAGAGAGGTCCCAAGCCAAGAGTGGGCCAGGATATTCCAGGAATAGCAAGGAGGCTTGAGTTCCTGGAGCTCAGGGAAGGTCAGAGAGGTGACAGAGAGTCAGCATGAAGTCTTCAAGCTTCCAGCAAGTACATAGTTTCAACTCCTATCTTCTGTGACAGGAAGGTCTTGGATGATTCGGAACCGAGGAATGGTGAGATGTAACTTTTGAAAGATTCCTCTGAGCTGGGATGAGGCAGGCACCCATGTGGCAGCTGAGGGGGAAGCTGGCCCCAGGAAGAATGGGAGAAGATGTGGGATATATTCTGAAGGTACAGTCAAGAGGAAGAGCCAAAGGTGACTGGGGTTCTGGCTCAAAAACCTGAAAGGATTGAGTTACTCTATCAGTGAGATGGAGAAAGCTGTGAGTAGAGCAGGTTTAGGGGTGACCTGGATTCAGCTTTTGAGCCTTTCTGATCCGCTCAGCCACACACCTACTCCCATGCCTTGGCTCCCAGTTGAAATGGCCCAGCAACAGTATGCCCATCCCTGTGGTCCTAAAGCTCCGGTCACCTCTATCCCCACTGTGTTTCAGCCTCTCCCTAGGCAAAGGGCCAGCCTTTGCCACAGCCCCCTCAGCACCTTCACCTGATTTGTTCTCACAAGGATGCTGGCTTCCACCATGTGCTATCTCAAAGGGGCAGGTGAGGTAAAGTAATAGGTGGGGAGCAGCCAGCAGAGAGGTTGCTCTTCTTTCCTCCCCTAGATGGACTGTCCCCAGCACAGATCTCTCTGGCCTTTCCTGAATAGCATGTGAGCCACTGTGGTCCGTTCAAGAACATACCACCTATATTTGCTCTCCCCCCGCTTTACTTGCCTTATTCCCTATCTCTAGCTTCCCTGAAGTTTTACCCACCAATAAAACTTTTTTGAAAAATAGGTGTTTACTGATTTTTTAGAGAGGAAGAGAGAGAGAAAAATACCTATTGGTTACCTCTTGTACATACCCCGACCCAGGGAACTAGAACGGAACCTTGACACCTGAGTATGTACCCTGCCCAGGATCGAACCAGCGACCTTTTGGTGCACTGGGACGATGCCTAACCAACTAAGCCACACTGGCCAGGGCTAAAACTTTTTTTTTTTATCCTCACCCGAGGACATTTTTCCATTTTTTGTTCAGGTAGAGTGGGAGGGAGAAGAGGAACAGAGAGAGAGAGAAACATCGATGCAAAAGGGACACATCGAGTGGCTGCCACCCACACGACCAACCAGGACCGGGGACAAACTGCAACTGAGGTACATGCCCTTAGCGGGAACCAAACCCGGGTCTCTCTGGACCGCAGGCCGACGCTCTAACCGCTGAGCCAAACTGGCCAGGGCAGGGCTAAAACTCTTAAAGAGCGACCAGACTAAAACAAGTGGGATTCTAGTTCAAGGGAAGGTTGTGGCTGGAGCTGTCAGCACATAGTCCAATAGAAAAAAGAACCATGATCATGTTCTGCAGCCCCTTAAGGCTTGAAGGTCACAGGTTGGGCAAGAGGAGGGAACCTGAAAGGGATGACAAGGAAGGGCCTATGAAGTAATCGGAACTTGAAGAGGAGGTGACATCTAAAAGCCTTTCCAGTAGGATGGGGACATCAGTGTCTGAATTGCCCCCTGGAACTAAAGGAAGCAGTGATATGGGACAGCTGGAGTGAAAATGGGATCAAGAGTTGATGTTTGGCCCTGGTCAGTTTGGCTCAGTGGTTAGAGTGTCGGCCTGTGGTCCAGAGAAACCCAGGTTTGGTTCCCGCTAAGGGCATGTACCTCGGTTGCAGTTTGTCCCAGTCCTGGTTGGGTCATGCGGGTGGCAGCCATGCAATGTGTCCCTTTCATGTCGATGTTTCTCTCTCTCTCTCTCTCCCTCCCACTCTATCTGAACAAAAAATGGAAAAATGTCCTCTGGTGAGGATAAAAAAAAAAAGGTGATGTTTGTTAAGACAGAAGAAAGTGTAGCTGTTTGGGTGCTGATGCCAATGATTAAGAAAAGGGACAAATGGATGACGTAAGAGACCAAGACTGGGAACAGTTGCTAACAGATGAGAGGTGGTAGGACTGATGCACAGTGGAATGCACTTGACAGAAGACTGATGGGTAGCACCTCTGGCCGCACCTGCCCTGGCATGGGTTCCCCAGGGGACTAGCTGGTCTATGCACCACACTCTGTCCACACAGATGCCATGGCAGGGATCTGGATTTGAGTCCTAGTCTTCGCTTTCTGTGATCCAGTAACTCAACTGGCCTATTTACCACCTGAGAAATGGGGGTGATAATAGTTCCTACCCCTACAGGTCATTGTGAAATATTTAACACTATAAATACTCAAAAAATGCAGACTTGTCTTACTAATGCCCTAGATAGAAACATAGGAGTTACCCAGGCCCCTGCTGGGCTGGGCTGGGCTGAAAGGAACCTAAAGGAAGGGACACTGTCTAACTGGGAGCTAGAGGATCTGTGGAAAAGACCCAGCAGTCATATGGGGCTGGTAAGCCCCAATTCAGCCAGACTCGCATCTCTGATGCTTCTCCCCATTCCTTGGCCCCAAACTAAAAATGTCAGTCACAAATCAGTCCAGGAGACCCAGGAGACCCAGGAGTGTGGCAGGCTCAGAGCACCCTTGGAATAACACCTGGCCACCACAGAAAGGAACAGAAATGCCTCAACTCCCACCTATACTGGCTTTTGGGCTTTGCCCACCTGGGCAAGTGCCCCTGGGGGCAGAGGCCATTCTCTCTCCCTGTCAGGGAGGGTAGAACCCTCTGAAGAAGGCGTGCAGGAGTGGGGGTCATGAGGGGAAAGGCCCCAGTGACTGATCTCTGATCTACAGGGGACCAGGGCCAGGGAGCTGTGTTTCTGTTTCCTGGAGGTAGGGGGGAAGACACTGGAGTCATCGGGCCCCGATTACACATTCATGAAAGGGCCCTGCCCAGAGGAGTGAGGTCAAGTCCCCTCTGTCCATCCTCCTGGCTATAGCAAAGGCGGAGCCCAGTGTCTGCCTGCACTGCTGACTTCTTGTGAGGGGCGGTGAGGGCCCCAGCCCCGTGCCTGCTCCGTGATCGTCATCTGGCAAGTCCATCCCGGATCCGAGTCATGCAGCTGAGGGTTGGGGGTGAAAGGAAGGCGGGTCAGAGGGACCCGAGGGCTCCAGCCCGGTGCGTGGACCAGTGAGGGGGTAGTGCGGGCTCGGCCCCGCCCCGCGCGCCCCTGCCGTGGCCAGCGCGCGCTCCCGGGAGGGAGGCAGCAGAGGCAGCGGCAGCTCCAGCAGCTTCCGCAGCAGCCCCAGGCTGTCTCGGGCGGGGCCGTATAGACAACAGAGATCGCCAGGGCTGCGCGGCCCGCTGGGGCCGGCCATGGAAGGAGCTTCGTTCGGCGCGGGGCGCGCAGGGGCCGCCCTGGACCCCGTGAGCTTCGCGCGGCGGCCCCAGACCCTGCTGCGGGTCGTGTCCTGGGTGAGTAGCCACTGTCCTGGTACCTGATCCCACCGTCCCTAGCATCCCTCGTCCTTACCCCTTGCCCCTCATCCCCCTTCAGTTCCTCGCCGTCCTCTCTCCCCACTGCAGCAGGTTAGGGTGACGTCACCTGGCTGGGCGCGCCCACCTGCGGGCGGGGGAGGGGCTGGCGGTGACAGCCTGGGGACCTTGAGAGGTCACCGCCCGCCGTCCCCCCTCCAATTCCCTCTTAAGTCTCAGGGCCCCTTTCCTTAGCCCTCGCTCCGTTTTCCCTGTTCTCGTGACCTGGAAGCAGGCACAGGGGTGGGGACGAGATTTGCGGAGGGGCTCGGGCACTCAGCCTCAGCAGGAGGAGGGGGCTACGGGAGCCGAGAGGATCAGGCAGAGCCTCCCCTTGCTTCTCCAGCATTCTCCTTCGAAGGGAACTGGCCCTTCCCGAGTCCCCCAGTTCGCGGGTTGTGGGGAGGCGGGCGGTGCTCAGGGATCCTTCTGGGTGGGGCAGCTCTGTTTTGTGAGGGCTGACTGGCGGTGGTGTGGAAGGGGCAGCTTTTAGGGGCAGCCTAGCTTACTGGGGCATATTCCTAGGTCGGGTGGCCTGCTCCTCCTTCCCACTCCTCCAGGTAGGAGAGATGGGAGGTGAAGTACCAAGTTCTGGGTTTTGTCCAGCAAGTAATGGATGGTGGTAGCTGCACCTACTGGCTGGTCTTGAGTAGGGCGGTGCCCAGTGTGGGGCAGGGGGCCTCCACCCTCTGGGTGAAGTGACTCTGACCAGACCAGGATGTAGGAACCCTAACTTCAGGACCCAGCCCTGGTTCCACTTCTGGACCACTCTGGGGAGTGAGTCCAAATCCTGTACCTTGATTTCCCTCTTAACTAGATCTCTAGGAGCTGGGGTGAAAAAGGAGAGAAATGAAATGGAAACTGGAGGTCTTTTTTTTTTAGAAGCATAGGCCTACTCAAAGCTGAAAGAGCAGTATCTGGCTTAAAAGGATAGTGGTCTAGGATTTAAAAATAAAATGACCGTGGTCCACCTCTTACTTGACTTCTAGCCCTTGTGGGAACAGGGTACTGATGTTTGAACCCCCGAGGTCAATCCTCTCGCCTCAGAGCCCAAACAGGTATAGTCACATGGGGTTGTCATCCTTTGAGTGCCCACCAAGTGTAGGACGCTTGATGGGCATTATTTTTCTGTCCCCAACCCCCCATGAGCTGAGCCTGTTACTACATATGACATGCTGAGAAGCAGGGCCACACAGCTTCTAAATGCTGAGGGCGGGTTCCACGCCCACAGTTCTGTGCAGCTGTCTGTACCCCCCTGTTGTACCCTACACCCTGGCCTCTCTCCTGGCTCCACACCTACCTCCCCCAGCACCGCCGGACCACCAGTCCAGGTGAAGGCTCCTGTTCCCACACTCTCGAGTGGACCCTGAGGAGACACTATGGGCTCCACGCAGTGCCGAAGACCCAGCTCGAATGTCAGCCCCTGCCCTTATCATCAGTGAGACCTCAGACAATCACTTCACCTGTTGGAGCCTTAATTTTCTCATCTGTAAAGGGTGTAAGAATAATGAATGGCACCTTCGTGGTTTTCTGGAAGGATTCTATGAGCGAACACATATAAAGTCTCAGTTTTAAGCACAGTGCCTGGGCATAGGAGATGCTCACTAAATGGTACATGTCCATAATTACTAAATACTTGAGAGAAGTATTAAGGGAAATGTGCCTGAAGACCCTCACACAGAGACGGGCCCTGTGCAGCAAGGGAACGCGGGGACAGAACCAAGGTCGTGGCCGCGCGGTGGGCCTCGGAGACCGTCTTCGGCAGGGAGGGGCGCCACCGCCAGGTCCTGAGCACCACCTGCCGCCCGCAGGTATTCTCCATCGCCGTCTTCGGGCCCATCGTCAACGAGGGCTACGTGAACTCCGACAGTGGTCCAGAGCTGCGCTGCGTCTTCAACGGGAACGCAGGTGCCTGTCGCTTCGGCGTCACGCTGGGCCTCGGGGCCTTCCTTGCCTGCGCCGCCTTCCTGCTGCTCGACGTGCGCTTCCAGCAGATCAGCAGCGTCCGCGACCGCCGTCGCGCGGTGCTGCTGGACCTGGGCTTCTCAGGTGGGCGTGGCCGGGCCGAGAGGCTGGCGCCGGAGGGGCGAGCGGGCTCCTGAGGGGGCGGGGCCCCCGGCGGGCGTCGAGATTCTGAGGGGAAGGGGAGGCGAACAGGTTTGGGCGGGGCCTCCTGCGTCCCGAGGCTGGTTCCCGGAGTGGTTCAGGGGAACCCTCCCCACGGTGTAGCGCTCCTAAGCCAACCGCCCACCCACCTGCAGGACTTTGGTCCTTCTTGTGGTTCGTGGGCTTCTGCTTCCTTACCAACCAGTGGCAGCGCACGCCGCCCGGGCCAGCCACCACGCAGGCGGGAGACGCAGCGCGGGCCGCCATTGCCTTCAGCTTCTTCTCCATCCTCAGCTGGGTGAGTGCGGCCTGCGGGCGGTGAGGGCCGGGCCGGGCCGGGCCGGGCCGGGCCGGCGTCCGCTCTAGCTGACGCCGGGCTCCTCTTCAGGTGGCGCTCACCGTGAAGGCCCTGCAGCGGTTCCGTCTAGGCACCGACATGTCGCTCTTTGCCACCGAACAGCTGGGCACCGGGGCGGGCCAAGATTACCCAGGCTACCCAGTGGGCAGCGGTGTAGAGGGCACGGAGACCTACCAGAGCCCGCCCTTCACCGAGACCCTGGACACCAGCCCCAAAGGGTACCAGGTACCCGCCTACTAGTGGCTGGCAGGCCCAGACCAGGGCTGGAAGACTGCCCCACCAATGCAGGGCCCAGGGCCCCCTGGGATCTCCCTCAAGTCCTCCTGGCCCAACTCCAGGGATGGAGGAGTGGCCACTGTGGGCCATCTGGGGCCAAGAGAGGGTGGCCCTCAGGGTGCCTGCACTGTACCCCCAAATCCTTCAAGTACCTTTAATCCCCAGCCCCAGGCCTGAGGTCTTGAGGAGGGGACAGCACAGCCCTGGACGTGTGTCCTCCAGGCCTCAGTGGGTCAGCTTGGGCAGAGGACCATTCCCTTCATGAGGCAGCCAGCCCAGGGCTTACCTGTCCACTCTGGCATCAGGGATCCAGCTGCCCTCCATAGCCAGGTTGCAGGACCTGCCTCAGACTAGGGGCAGAAATACTGCCCTCACCCCCATGCCATGACCCAGGGAGCATGGCCACTGTTCCCCATCCAATGTCCCTGTGGGTAGTGACAGTCCTTGTTCCTGTCATGTTGGTTCACCCTGTGGGACCACATGCTCTGTCTAGAGCCTCCCTCCATTTCCTCCTACCTGCTCGCTAGAGTAGCCTGGCCGTGTCGATGTTGTGATTGTGGTCAAGTTTTCAAGTTTCATCTGGTAGTTTCTCAAAAGAAGCCCCTCTCTCTGTGGCCCCTACTCCAGCCCCTCCATGCCTTGGCCCAGGACTCTGCCTGGGTGTGGGGAGTTCTGGCCAGGAAGGCACAACATGGCTATAGGCCTGGGCACCAGCCTTCTCCCAGTCCTTCAGTAAAAACTTACCCAAGGGAGGCTTGCGACACCTTCGTGCCTGGCAAGCCCCTTGCAAGGACAGAGGCTCCAAATGTTCATCGTGCCCTGGAGACAGCCATTCCATGCAAACCCCTTTACCTTGGTTTCCCAGACCTGTCCTCAGCTCCCCACCCGACACCCCATTTTAAGGCCCAGTTCAAGGTTGGGGTCCCTCTGCATAGCTGACTACTCATGCATTGCTTGAAGCTGGCTTTTCATTATACCAGATGAGGTTGCCACATTTCATTCTTACAGACAGATGCCTCTGGAGTTGCGGTTGATTGACAACCCTGTACATTGTAGTATAGATCAAATTATGTGTGGATATTTAAGTGAACATGTTTACAATTTTTGTATATATGGATCTCTTCCTCCCTCCTCTGAAAGAACAATCCGTGATTGTGTATTTTCAGTGTCCCATGTTCTAACTGTAACTTCTTTACAATAAAGACTGTAAATGAGTTTACTGTGGCCCAGACACTCTAAGACTTATTCCTACCCTTTCCCCTCCCGGTGGCAGAGGCTGGGCTCTGAAGGGCACCTGGGCCCAGAATCTAGGAAGGTGCAGAGAAGTGGAGGCCAGGCAGACCTCCATGTTCTGGGGGTTCCAGGTCCATCAGCCCTCACTACACATCACACTGGTCTGGAACTGGATTGCTCAGAGCAGGCTCTCTGAAATGGTGGGGGAAATCCTGTCTCTTTTACCACTTTTATAATAGCAGGAGTACTAGATATTTCTTGTGGGAGTGTATCTTTAGTAGTTCTTTCATCAGTCAACAGATGTAAAATTGGAGTCTTTATATTACTCCCATGTTCTTGAAGGATAGTTTTACTGGGCATATAAATGTTGTCATTTTCCTCAGAACTTTAAAGCTATTTCTCTAGCCCAGCCAGTGTTGCTCAGTGGTTGAGCATCAACCTATGTACTAAGATGCTACTGGTTTGATTCCTGGTCAGGGCACATGCCCAGGTTTTGGGCTCAATCCCCAGTGGGGGATGTGTAAGGGGAGGCCAATTTATGTTCTCTCATCAATGTTTCTCTCTCTCCTTCTCTCTCTCTAAAAATCAATAAAAACATTTTTTTTAATTAAAAAAAATATATTTCTACTCTTCTTTAGGTTCTTATACTGCTGATGAGAGCAGTGATAACAATTTGCATTCCTCAATAGGTTATGTCATTTTGGTAATAATTTTTTTCTAAGTAGGTCTAGATGTGGCTTTAAAAATCATCCATAGTGCTGGTTTGTATTTTTCTTTCTTCAGTGCTTGGGTAAAGTGGTCATTATTTCTCCACATGTTATTTTCTCACCACTTTCTGCTCCTGGGACACCCATCAGATGTATCATGCAGCTTCCAGGGCCATATTGCATGACCAAACTGCCCTTTGGAGATTTCCCCAGCTTGGTCTAGTTTACTTTTTCTTTTCTTTTCTTTATTGATTTTAGAGAGGAAGGGCAAGGGAGACACAGATAGAAACATCGAGGAGGAGAGCATCAATTGGCTGCCTCCTGCATGCCCCCCACTGGGGATTAGGCCCACAACCTGGGCATGTGCCGTGGCCGGGAATTGAACCAGCAACCTCTTAGTACATAGGTTGATGCTCAACCACTGAGCAGCACTGGCCGGGCATGGCTTACTTTTGAACCAAACTTTTTATGTCAGTTTTTCATTTCTAAGATTTCTAATTGGTTGGTAACCTCCTGATTAAGCAAAGCAGTTAAGAACCATCTCTGGAGCTGGAATGCTGGCTTGGCCACAATCAAGCTTGGTCATCTTGGGCAAGTCTCTTGTCTGTGCCTCAGATTCCCCTTCTATAAAAGGATATTAGATCCTGTCACATAGGGTGGGGTGACTACATGTGTAAACTTGTTAACACGTGTTAAGAGCTCAAAGCAGTGCTTGTCACACAGCCAGAACTAAAGTGTCACCTAGTATTACAGATTTTACTTAAGAACAGGTATTTTTAGTACCATTAATGTTATATCAGTTTCCAGATTGCTCTTCTGTGAGGTTGGTTGTACTCAGTTCTGCAAGCAGGGCATCAGCTAGGAGGCACTTGTGTGTGGTGGGAAATGCAGGTGGCCTCTGATGCACTGCCTAATGGATGGTGACAGGGAGTGGAGGTTCTTCTCTCCTAGGGGGTGCTGAGCATGGCCATCACCTAAGGACACTGCTCCAGTTCTAGCCACCAGCAGGCAAGCAATACCATCCAAGTCCTCAGCTTCAGGCTGGCAGTGGCAATGCAGCCATGTGGCTCTGGCCTGGCCCCTCTGCAGGCCACTGACTTTAGCCTTCATCACTGTGGGTTCACCATTTTGCTTCTTTTAGAAAGACATTTCCACTTCCTCTCCCCTAAGGATGTTTCCTTTGCCTTATTTGGATGTAGTTATATGTTTAGAAGTTTTTCCTATTTATATGTTTGGGGCAGAAAGGGGAGATTTCAGTTGTGTCTAGTCCCCTTTCAAAATACCAGATCACAGCCTGGCTGGTGTGGCTTAGTGGATTGAGCATTGCCCCATGGACTCTGAGGTCTCACTTTGATTCCCCGTCAGGGCACATGCTTGGGTTGTGGGCTCGATTCCCAGTAGGGGGCATATAAGAGGTAGCTGATTGATGTTTCTCTCTCATTCCCTTCCTCTCTCTCTAAAAAAAAAAAAATCAATAAAAACATACTAAAAAAGATTTATCAAAATTTCAGATCATGAGTTATTTTTCTTATAGTAATTCATATGTGCCCCCTCTCCCACTGTTTCTAAATTGTTCTTGTTGAAGTTCATCTTTAGTAATTCTTTCACCCACCTTGGATGTAAACCCGTGCCTGTATGCCTCTCATGTTCTGGAAGTATAGTTTTACTGGGTACAAAGTGTAGGTCAAGCATGGCTGTGTCTATTCCTGGAAGGCTTGGGTAGTGCTAGACCTCCAGGATTGGGGCCCCTTGGGTGGCTTCTGCTTACTGTGAGGAAAGCCCAGCTGTCCATTTCTCCCCTGGGGACCTTCTACTGGCTGACCACCTGAGCTATAACAAGTAAAAATTCCAGAATTCCCCTTGCTACTGAGTGACCTCAGAAGTCAGAGAAGCTCAAAATGCCAGCTATGTGCATTATTGCAAAATAAATTTATTTGAAGATAAACTTTTATAAAAGGTCAGAGGCAATCTGAGAGCCCAGATTCAGCTTGTCTCGTAGAAAGATTTAACTTCAAGTAGCACAATTTTGTGTCTGCTTTTAATCCTGAATATTCTTGAATCATGAAACAGCCAACTGTTTACACAACACACTCAATACCTTACTCCAGCGCACCAGTGGACCCACAGCTTCAGGCTTGGGGGCCATGGTGCTGCAGCCCTCAGGCTCTAGAGGTCCCAGATTGGGCTGCTGTGGCCACTAGCTCTGACAGCATGGACAAGTCCCGGCAGCCCAGCCCTTCCCTCCTGTGGCAGCTTCCAAAATCATTAGATACAAACCAAGACTGGCCCACCACTAGGCAGGGGTATCTGCCCAGTTCCCAGGAGGAAACCAGATGGACTCCTGCCTAACTGTGCTGACATGGTTAAGTGGGCTGTCCTTGTGACTCCTGGTGGGCCGATCAAGCAAAGGGCCTGAGCAGACGGCCTCACCAGGGCCTTACCTGGCTGCCTGGCAACCCAGGAGGAGGAGGAAGAGGGACAAAGGAGGCTCACAGGTGTGGCCAGCTCCTGCCCACATGGCGGAAGCTATGTGAGGGTCCTGGCAACAGCTTGCAGGGAGGGGAAGTCATCATCCTGGGCAGTGTGCAGAGCCTGGTGGCTGCTGACGTCACCATTTGCAAGTACCTGCTGGCAGGTAGGGCACACACAGCAGTCCAGGCCCGCCTGCTGGGTGCTGGCCTGCCATGCACTCCTCTTGTTCTTCTTTGACTTGGTGCTGGGAAGCCTCTCTTGGCCTCGGAAGTCCGTGTGTGCAGACAGAAGCTCCTGTTGCTTGGCTGTGTCAGGCAGGAGCACCAGCAGCTCATTGAATATCTTCTGGAAGTTCTCCCCAAGCAGGTCTCGGCAGCTTTTATAATACTGGGCTGCGGAGATCATGCCCTGCCACCCAGAGCCAGATCCAGTCACCCCTGGCTCAGGCCTGGGCCCCAGGTGGCAGGCTGCATCCCCACCCCCTCTGCCTCCCCCGCCAGCCTGACCTGTCTAAACTCCCCCGAGTGACTCTTGAACTCGCTGAAGCGGGTTTCATCACTCTGCAGGAAGTCCTTGATGGACTGGATGAGCTGTAGGTTCCTCTCCCGGAAGTTCTCAGGGACCAGGTAGGCCCGGGGCACTGGTGTCAGCCTGGGTCTGGGAGTCGGGAGATGGAGGCTTCAGTTTTTGGGGTGGCCCAAGGTGAAGGTACTCTATCCTGGCCCCCAGTGGCACAAGGCTGGGCAACCCGCCACACTTACGCTTTTGTGGTGGTGGTAGTGCTGGGGACACAAGCTGGGTGGGGGCTAGGCAGGCCGGAGAAGCCAGGGGGCGGCTTGCTGATTGGGGGCACCAGACCTGGCGGAGGTGGGGGCGGAGTGCCCTTCAGGAGCACCACAGTGCTGAAGCCTGTGGGGTGGCACACCAAGACCCAGATAATGACCCTCACTGGCCAGGCCTCATCCCTCACATTCCATAGGCTTCCCAGCTCACCCAGGTCAAGCTTCCATCCAGAGACCACACCTCCCCTGAAGAACACGCTCAAAGCCTGATGATGCCTAGAGCCAGCACACATGGTGCACTCCCTTGTGGCAAATGCTGACCTAAGTTAACTCATTTGCCCGTCTTGAAAGGGTGCTAGGATTGCCCGGTTTTACATGGAGGAAAGGGGCACAGAGAGATTAAGTAGTAAACAAGGTCATGCTGTTCACAGATGGTAGCATCTACATCTAGACTTCCACTATACTTCTTTCTTTTTTATCCTCACCCGAGGACTTTTTTTTCCATTTTTTGTTCAGATAGAGTAGGAGGGAGAGAGAGGAAGACAAACATTGACATGAAAGGGACACATCGAGTGGCTGCCACCCGCACGACCAACCAGGGCCGGGGACAAACTGCAACTGAGGTTTGTGCCCTTAGCGGGAACCGAACCTGGGTCTCTCTGGACCGCAGGCTGACACTCTAATCGCTGAGCCAAACCGGCCAGGGCAACTTCCACTATACTTCTAAGGCAGCTGGAAACCACTGCACAGGCTCACCTCTCCCCACCTGCAGTCCTGTGTCTGCCTATACAACATAACCTCGGGCCCCGAGGGGCTCAAGACTGACTCTACTACCCTGACCCCTTCCCAGACATTCAAAAGCAGGCCTGAGCCAGGTGCACCTACCTGGGGGAGGGGGCATCCTGGGTGGGCAGGGGCCGCCGAGTGCTGGGAAGTCTTCCTGGGGTGTGGGGCAGGGGAGGGGCCCCAGCGGCCGCGGGAGCCCAGGGGGTTCCTTGGGGACACTCCGAGCAGGGGCCGGCCCCTCTGTGTGTCCATTGACGATGACAGTGACTGGCCCCTCAGCTCTGCCAGTGGGAGCCAGATGGGCCTGCTCAGCCCCAGGGGGCCCAACTTTTTCAGGGGGTAGTGGCAGTGGCAGGGGTGATGTGGCACCCAGCTTCTCGGAGCCCACCTTCTTCTTCTTGCCAACTTTGGTGAAGGTCTGGGTGGAGGCCAATGCCAGCAGGGAGGAGACAGCGACCGTTGTGGGCACACTCCGCAGCTCCTGGGTGGTGAGGCCAGTGTGGCTATCCTCCTCTTCCTCCTCCTCCGTGGTGGGTGGCCCACCCTTCTTGCTGCCCTTACCCCCCTTCCCAGCCTTCCTGGGGGGCTGACTGCCCCCACCAGCAGCCTGGGCCCCTGGGGTGGGTTGCACCACCTTCTTGCTGCTGCTGCTGCTATTCCAGGCAGAGATGAGGCTGGTGGGGGCTGTGCTGGGCTTAGAGGTGGAGGACACCAGGGCAGGGAAGTCATCCTCCTGGAAGGTGCTCCTGCCCCTGGTGGGAACTGGGTATACCAGTGCCAGCCCCACAGGGCCCAGGGCTGCTGCCGTGGAGCAGGAGGAGGAAGTAGAGGTGCAGAGACTGGGGAAATCTTCATCCTTGAGCTTCGAAGTGGGGGGCGGGAGGGTGCTGAGTCCAGGGAGGGGAGAGGGGTCAGTGGCCTGCCAGGCCCTGGACTGCCCTGCACCCACCCTCCATACAATCTCTGCACTTTTGCCCCAGTTCATGTACATGTGTACCTCAGAAGTGTGGCCCCTGCAGCTGGGTTTGTGGCTGGGAAGGCCTCTTGGCTTACAGGACCGTTTGTTGAAGCTTCTTTGGGGCCTTCAAGACACAAAAGAGCACTATGTCAGGTTGGTCAACATCGAAGGGGCATGAGCAGGAGCAGGCCCTCTGGGGTGACCAAGGAACCTCCCAGGCGGCTCCCAGAGCTACCTGCAGGCAGGGCCAGCTCACCTGGGCCTTCACCCTGAGTCCGGAGCAGGCGCCGGGGCCCCCGAGGCTCCTCAGCTCCCCATATCCCTGCCTCCTCTTTCTTGAGCCTGCTGCCCTCTTCCCGGTCCTCGCTCCTGTGCGTCTCCTGCTGGTGCTGCGTGGCCACCGAGGCCCGGATGGCAGCTGCCACTTCTCGATCCTCTTCTTCCCTGATATGGGGCGGCCTTTAGACTGGGCAAGGCCCTGGACTACAGTGGTGTGCAGGGCAGGGATTGGGGAGGGGCCTTGTTCCTAGGAAGACTGGACACCAGGAGGTGCCAGGAGCTAGGCCTAAGGCCAGCTGGTCAGTGCTGGTCCACCCTCACTGGCCACAAGAAGGAGCTGTGGAGCAGCAGAAGCCCTCCCACCAACCTTAGGCTGTGGAGACAGGCAGCACCTGGGCTCAGTGCTCTGGATTAGCATCTGGGGTCCCCAGGTACCTGGATCCTGCCAGGCATTGGGGGCAGCCTCCAGCCTGAGCATGTGCCTGTAGCACTGGTGTCTTATGGCACAGCTACACTGAACCTCCAAGTGATGCAGGCCCCTCTCACCCACCCCAACCTGCAGGTCCTGGTGTGTCTGGCTGAAATTAGAGGAAAGAAGGGGGAATTCTTGCTCGCTGAAGACACTGAGGAGACCCTACTGCCACGTCCAGGACATCAGATGCCAGAAGGCCAGAGTCCCCAGACCCCCGTGCCTGTTCCTAGCCTGGCTGTGGGCCGCTGCCATCGCAGCTGTGGTACCAGAAGAATGACGGCAGCATGCAAATCCTCCCACCTCTTGTACCTCCAGCTTCCTCGGCGACTCTGCTGGGCTCCACGGCCACTGGCCCGGCCTGCTCGGCCTTGACGGTTATACCTGTCCACCTCCTCATAGTCCTCGCCACTGACGATCCCTGTGGCCAGCACACAGCCTGTCACGGGCCCAGGCCAGGCTGAACGCTAGTGCTCTGGCTTATAGAGCAGAGGCTGCCCTGTCCCTACAGCACATGAGTCCAAGAGACAGGCTCATACATATAGAGGGGTCCACACCAGCCCCAGGCTTCTACGGCCTGGGTACCAGGTCAGAGCAAGAAGTGGGCTTGGAGAGGGGTCTGGGCCTGCCAGTTGCACAAGACAGGACCCACACACAGCAGGTGCTCAAAAATCTTCCAACCCAGGGAGAGTCCCAGGGACCCTAGATGCTGAGGAAATTGGCCAGGAAAAAGAGCTCCCTGCAGTCACAGTATGCTCAGAGAAGCAGGTTCAACAAGTGTCCCTTGTCCCCACTGACACATGAAGTGCCGAATCAGGACTTGGGAGCACCAGGCTGGAGCCCTTGGGAGCCCATTTGGCAGAGGGGAGCCCCTGCTTACCTTCATTCCGGCGTGAGTGTCGTGGTGTGTAGCTAAACTGCAGGTCGATCTGGCGGTTCTGGCGGGCCTCAGCACGGCTCCGACTGTGACAGGCTGTCTTGTGGGCCTTAAGGTCAATCTCGGTGCGGAAGGCATGGGTGAACTGCTCGGTACTGCAGCGGCCCTCCTCGCACAAGAAGTGCTTCTCCCGGAAGTGCTCACGCAGATAAGCATAGTCGCTGACAGGGTGTCAGCAGGCGCACTGTCAGCCCTACCACCCCAGCCAGTGGCCTCTGCCCAGCTTGCTCTGGGTGTCCTAGGGACCACCCCATGCCATCCCACACACACCTGTAGTAGTCTTGGGCCCCATCTGAATCACAGAAGTGGCAGAAGTAGTGGTCTCGACGCAGGTGCTTTAGCAGCTCATCATTATCCAGGTAACGCTCATCACAGAACTTGCAGAGTGGGTGCCCACGGTGCGACGTATCATCAGGGTCTCCCTGCATGCGGTGCCGCGCCAGGTCCTTGCGTGAGTACCACTTGCGCTCATACGTGAAGATCTGCAAGGAGGAGAGGGCTGGGCAAGGGTGTGGGCTCCCAGGCCTCCTGCCTCTTCCCACAGTCTGACTATGGAGAGGTCCTAGCTCTGATCCAGAGCCCCCAGACACCAGAGCCTGATGGGCCTACATAGTCACTGGGAGCCCCTCCCTGCCTGGGCTGTGTGCAGCCTGACTACCCCTACCCAGGGGTCTGTGAGGCAAGAGAGCTGGGGGGGGCTCCAGGGGTCCGATCTGTCCAGAGTCAGCCACCAGCCTCTCACAGCTATTTGGCTAAGTCCCACCATACCACCCCCTCTACACAGCCTGACCACCATCCACCTCTGCCTGGGGCTCTCCCTTGGTCTCTGAGAGCCCCAGATGGGTGCTGTAGGGGTAGGTGCGCACCTTGAGGTGTTTGAGGCACAGCTTGCAGCAGAAGAGCTCATGCTGTTTCCTCATGTGCTGCTCCAGGTCCCCGAAGAGGACGAAAGGTGGCAGTGCAGGGCACTTTGGGCACTCGTGCTGCAGCAGCTGCCTGGGAGACACCGAGAGCCACCCGCCCCCACAGACACTCAGCGTCGCCATCTGGAGCAAGCACTGGCACCTCCTCACAGCCCCCTGCTCCATGCCTGTAGATGCCCTGGGAGCAGGAGCCAGGACAGGAACTCTCATCCATGTCCTCCATGGCTCTGACCTTTGAGTCAGATGGTACTGACACAGGGTCAGAAACTACTCCCCGCCAGGGCCCAAGTCAAGCAAGGCCGCAAGATGGGATTGGGTCTATGATCCAGGAGAATTAACCCCTGCATCAAGTGGACATGATAATAAGCCCACACAGGGGGCTGGGATCAAAAGCCCAGGTTCTAGCCAAGCCAGGGGCCACCCCTTCCCTAGAAGACTAGGACTACCCTGTGACAACTGTACCCCTTCAATGGGTTTTCCTGCCAAGCCTGACTTACAGGAGCTCTTGTGCACCTCAAAGGCTCCAGAAAGCAGGCACTGGGTGCTATGCCAGGAACACTTTTTCTGAATTCACCCCCTGCCCCCATCTCTACCCGCCTAAGGAAGGGTGCTTTGAGTGTCTCCAGTTACAGGGAAGGAAACGGAGGACAGAAACCCAGCCACCTGGCCCTTGACGTCCATGCTACACCAAGCGCCCTTACCCTCCTATGGTTTTGGGGAGCACAGGAGGTGACGGGGATGTGCCCATCCTGCCACAAAGTGCCCCACAGACACAGGCCAGCCACAGACTCTAGGAGCCCAAACTGATGCTTTCTTTCTCACCTATACAAGGCAAACACTTTCCCATCAGCAAAGTAGATATCATACTTCTTCTCATGCTGCAGCTGGTGAATGGGGATTGTAGCAAAGGCAGGAAGCTTCTTCCCAAAGACCACCTGGAACCAAAAGTGAGAGGACCTGGTGAGCGGGGCAGTGGGCAGCCACTAGAGGGCACAATCAGAATGAGAAGAAAGGGCACTCAGGGCACCTCCTGGTGGGCAGGCCAGAGGCAGGTCCCAGCAGACAGCATCCTCTACCTCTCTGGGCTAATGGAGGCTCCTCTCCTTACCAGCAGTTGAGGAACTTGGGGTTGCTGGGATAGAGATGCAATGCCCAGTCTCGCCAGCAGGGGGAAGTAGGCTCCCCACTCATTCACAGCCAAACCTACACCTGCACAGACAGAGGCTGCCCCAGAACAGTGACTGCCAGGGGCAGTGACAGGGACCAAATGTCCAGGCAAACCAGGGTTTGTTTGTTTGTTTGTTTGTTTGTTTATCCTCACCCGAGGACATTTTTCCATTTTTTGTTCAGACAGAGTGGGAGGGAGAGGAAGAGAGAGAGAGAAACATCGACGTGAAAGGGACACATCGAGTGGCTGCCTCCCGCGCAACCCAACCAGGGCCGGGGACAAACTGCAACCGAGGTATGTGCCCTTAGCGGGAACCGAACCCGGGTCTCTGAATCACAGGCCGATGCTTTAACTGCTGAGCCAAACCGGCCAGGGCGCAAACCAGGGTTTAATCACAGGACAGTTTTCATGGGGAAAGACAAAGTCCAAGAAGCACCTAAAAAAAATAACAAATGCTGCCAGGCCTAGATAGGTCAGGTGACCATGTGTCAGGACCTGGCCACTCTGTCCACCCATGTTTCTATGCCATAGGAGAGGGGCTCCTCCACAGGACTGTCATGGCCCAGGCTGTTCTTGGCCAGCTTCCTGCCTGTTAACCAGACTGTCTATAGGAGTCAAAGGGACAAGATGGTGTGCATATGACAAGGCTAGACACAGAAACCTCTACAGCCCAGCAGCTCCTCAGGGGTCTCCAACACTCTTAGGTAAAGCCTGCTGGACCTGCTCTGCCCTTCCACAGACCCCTGCACTGGATGATAACCAAACCCTGTCCCTCCCCTCCAGGCCAACAAGGGCAGTGCTCTCTCCAGGCCTCCCTCATCCTCCATCCCCTCTTTCTCTATGGCCCCCAATCCTTTCCCTTGGATCAAAACACGAGCCTCTCCATGCCCCTTCCTGTTCCACCACTGTCCCCACAGCTGGAGCTGGTTGCTGGCCTCAGTTCCGAGTCCTCACTAACACAGTGGGGGTGAGGGGTAAGGGATCTTCACATTAAGAAAGGTCATGACAGACCTGGCTGGTTTGGCTCAGCGCTTAGGGCGTCGGCCTGCAGACCAGAGTTGTGGGTTTGATTCCCAGCCCTGGTCAGGTCGTGTGGGAGGCAACCAGTCGATGTGTTTCTTTCACGTGGAGTGTGGAGTGAGTGTGTGTGTGTATCTCCTACTCTATCTGAAGATAAATGGAAAAATATCCTTGGGTGAGGATTAAAAAAAATAAAAAAAAAAGGTCACGTGGAGTACTATGCAGCTGTTAAGAAAGAAAGATCTCTTATCCTTTGAGACGACATGAAGGGACCTGGAAAGTATTATCCTAAGCGAAACAAGCCAAGCAGAAAAAGACAAATACCACATGATCTCACTTACTTGTGGAATATAATGATCATAACAGTCTGAGGAATGGGGTAGTCCCAGAGACATGGAAGTAGGATACACACTAACAACCCTCAGAAGAGGGGATGGTGGGGGGAGGGAAGAGATAAACCACAGAACTTATATGCATGTACGAATAACTAATGGACATGGACAACAAAGCCAGGCATGGGGTGGGGGGGTGGGGGATGGGGAGGAAGGTGTCAACGGGGTAAAAAAGAAGAAACATCTGCAACAAAAATAAAATAAAATAAATTTTTTTTAAAAAAGTAAAAAAAAAAAAAAGGTCACGACAAGATCATCCCTTTATGTTTAGGCTCAGCCAGGGAGGATGTCTGGGACCAGAACTGCCATGAGCTTGAGAAAGCACAGGACTGATGGGGGAGAGCTGATGATCACACTGTCTCCCAGCAGCAGGGCAGTTAAAACTGGTTCCACTGGGTAAGGAGCCAGGGAGCTCAACCTCCACCTCTGGGGACAAACTGGGGGGGAGGGGTGTGGAGGAGGCAAACACTTAAGTCTGCCCCCACGGAAGCCCAAGAGAGGTGTTATGGTCCAGTCAAATCCATTGAGGGGTGGGGTTTGAGCAGGGCCCCAACAGGCCTTTTTACTTTTGGTCCTCATGGGTAGCAATGCCAAGCACTATCCTCTGCCACACACTGAGCTAGAGTGGGAGCCTCATCCCAGCTTACTCCCATGTCTTCAGGGGGTATTGTGGCTCCACCACCAAAGAGTCACCCTCCACATCCCTCCACACCCCTCCTCAGCTTATCCTCTGGTCTGGGCCTCAAGCTGGCATCTTCTCATGAAGCCCATGCCCAGCCCTGCCTTTCGACTCCTCCTAAGGGTACCTTACCAGCCCAGACTCCAGTTCCTCCTGCATTTTGCCCAGGGGCAGGTGCACGAAGGACCAAGGCCAAGAGTCAGGCAGGATGCTGCTGGAGGAGCTATCCGCCAAACAAGGTGCCTTAGCTAGGTTGAGGCAACACAGGCTGCAGATTTAGGAGCTTTGGCATCTGCCTGCAAGGTGACCAAGCAAGCAGCCTACAAAAAAATCCTTGAGGCTGCTAAGAAGCATCCAAGCACAACAGACTTAGCAGAGGAAAGACTTCCTTCCCCAGAAAAAAAACCTGTGCTGGTATGCCCTGTCACACCACCTCCCTGCTCCAGTGCCCTCTTCTCAGTGGTCAGTTCCCATCTAATGTGGGTGATGTCTCCTTGGGCTACAGGCACCCCTGCCATGAACAGAGGAAGGTGCAGGTCTCAAGACCAATCAGAGGAAGGTGCAGGTCTCAAGACCAATCACCAGGCCGCTTGGGTGAGTACTTGGCCCTCCTGAGTAGTCTGGTGGGGCAGCCCAGGCTGGGCAAAGCCAGGAGAAGGGGGACACTAGGCTGGCTCAGGAAAGGACCAGAACCATAGGAAAAGGCTTGGGAAAGGAAAGTGACCATGGGCATGCAGGCACATGGCTGGGGTTTTATAAGAATGAAAGTGAGCAGGTTTGGAGCTGGGGATGTGGAGTGGGAAAATGCTAACTGCCCTTCCCACATAGACTGTGAGACTGGGACTACCCCCTAACCCAAGGTCTGCACCCAGAGATCGAGCCCAGCAATGAATAGACAAGGTGATGGAAGTGCAGCCTGGTATAGCTAGTGTTCCTGTCTGCAGCTGAGGCTGAGGCAATTGGTAAGATTGAATGGCTGAACAAGGGCATGGTGGCCTGGCCAGGGATGGGCAGGAACACACCAGGGATCCAACAAGTATGGCCCAAGACCCACCCACACTGGTGATCACTCATGGGTCCAAGGACACTTGAGGATGGGCCATCCTGGGCAGCCCCTGGGTGGGCCATGCAGTAAATGACAAAGGGGGAAAACGCACTCCTGGGTAGGCCCAGGATGGCCAGGCTAGTCCCTGAGGAGAGAAAGGGGGAGATAGGGGTGAGGGAGCTCCCACTGGAGCACTCCACAGGGACAAGACTGGGGCCTTGCTGCTCCCCATCCCAGTATGCAGTGGGCACTCACTAAGAGTGAGTGCATGAGAGGACAGGTACTTCCAGCAGTGACCACTGACAAGAGTGAGCCAGATGGTGAGGGGCAGTGAGTATGGCCCTAGGGCAAGGAAAGGAATAGTGTGAGCTCCTGGGGACCATTCCACCTAGAGAGTACAGGCACCAAAGGAGCCCAGATAATCTTAGAGGAGGAGGTCCAGGAGGGAGGTAGTAAGGAGGAGGCACCAACAACAGAAAAGCATCACCTGAGTCAGCAGGTCCTGCCTCAGAACCTGCCTTCAGCCTCCCCTCCCACTTCCTGCCTGTGAAATGGGAGGTGGGGCTGTATTAGGTGGCCTGCAGGGCCCCTCCTAGCTCAGACACATCCCACTTTGTACAGCAATCCCATCAAGCCTCTTTGATATCACTGGGTATCAGGGCAAAGTGGAGAGCAAGACAAGAATCATCTTTTGGAAGAAGTTGCCTGTGGGAAAGATGTGATCAGGGAAGATGTGACCAGGGAACTGGGGAACTTGACATCAGTCTCAACCTTGTGCACTCAGCCTCCACCCTGAGCATCTGCCAGCAATCTAGATTGATCTGGCTCCTCGCCTGACCAGCAGCTGCAGGGCTATGCTTCATCTGCTCTTCCCAATGCCTGCCCCCATAGGCCAGCACAGGGAAGCACTCGGTCAAGGTGTAGAAATTCACCAGCAAATAGAGCTGGCCTGTTCTCATAGCATCACCACACACTTTCCTCCCAGTTTTTTTCAATGACATAGTTTCATAAGAGAGGAGAGAGCAGAGGCAAGTTTCCAGGCTAGGGATGGCTGTGGGATTCCTGACTTGGTATGGGACACAGGAATTCAGAGGACAGTGTAAAACTCAACTAATTAATAGGAAGGGTTAGGGCAAAGCTGCAAGTTAAAGAGTGGTAGTGCCCTGGCTGGTGTGGCTCAGTTGATTGAGCATCATCATCCCCAGCATCAAAGGGTTGCTGGTTTGATCCTGGTCAGGGCACATACCCAGGTTGTGGGTTCGATCTCCAATCAGGGCACGTAAGAGAGGAAACAGATTGATGTCTCTCTCTCTCTTCTCTCTCTCTCTCTGTTCCTCTCTAAAAACCAACTTAAAAAAATTTTTTTTTTAACTACAAAAAGTGGGAGTGGAGCAGGATGTATAGGAACATCATCTCCCGAAACTTCCTAGGACACTCGCCTGCTGCCCAGCAATTTGGGGCAGGCCTGAGAAGAAAGCCAGGGTCAGCCAGGGTCACCTGATGCCAAACCACACCCCAGCTGGACCCTGCTGACAGCTCATGTCAACATCTCCTTGCCACAAAGCATTTGGAGGACATGGGATCCATAAAGAGTGAGAGAGGCCAGATGCTGACGACAATAGCCATACAGAGGTGTTGGCTCACTTTTGAGTAAGACCAGCAGTGCCCAGGACGAGGGCCTCCTTGGCACCTTCTTTCCTGGACAGAAGCTACAGGTGTGCTGGGAAACCTGGCCATTCCAGAGTTTCATCATGCTACACAAGAATGGCTGGCAAGGCAGGCTCTGGCAAAGTTGGGAGGTGCCCTCTGAGTAGGCCCCAGGTTTCCCCGACTGTCCCAACACCCCAGATCTCTCGCAGGGCTGTGTCCATCTCTGTCCACCCCATTACAGACTGACAGCATCCCCAAGTGTCTTTTTCTGATAGGGCACAAAGTAGGTGCCCACAGAGTGCTCATGGATTACAAAATCCACTTGGTCCCTTTAACATAAATGTCTACTTTAAAAAAGAAAAAAGAATGAACCTATTCCCCAACAATGTCATTTCTGCCTTACTTCTAGGAAGAGAAAGTCAGATTTCCTGGCAGGTGTCACCAGCCCAAGCTTTCCATGAACCAGGGAAATTTCACAACACTGGAAGCAAACAGATCTCAAAGTGCAAACCAAGGGAGCCCCAGCTAGGTGCTCCCAGCCAGCAGCTGGCATTGTGGGGAGGGAGGGGGAAAGTTTCCTGACCCCTCCAAGGCTTCCAAGTGTGGACACACTCAGAAATCCCCCGCTTCACTAGGGAGCTGAGTGAGTCCCCCAGGCAGAACTGGCAAGGAGGAAATCTTCAGGACCCTTTTAACTTCATCCACCAAGCATTCTGAAGAAACCTCAATGGTTCTACCTTCCCTTCCGGTGGGCAGGTCTGGGTGCTACCTCCATTCAGTAGATGTAAAATGTCAGTTTCACTACCAGGGGGTGGGGTGGGCCAGAAACACAGCTAGGCTGGAAAAACCAAGTTTGACCCTGTGCTTCCAAAACAGATTGCCTCTAGAGGTGCCCACTTATCCTGTCTCCTCCATCAAAATAGACTCCTGAAGACAAGCAGGTCGAGTCCTTGCTTTTATCATACTCATTCCTATGGCCCGACAGGAATTCCCGGGGTGCAGAAGGAAAGTCCCCAGGCTCTGTTCCCAAAGGGACCACTCACTTTTCAACCCATCGTGGCCACCTCCTGCCTCCTGGCCCCAGACGCCCCACAGTAGGCCTGACGGTCAGGACACTGCCCCGGGTGGCCCGCCAGGCCTCTCTTTTGGAAGCCGGCGCCATCAGGTCCGCGGGCGGACATTAGGAAGACAGTCTCCTTCCGGATGACGGGTGCCCGCCGCCCAGTACCGCCCCACCCGGTCGCGCCCCCGTGACCGCCCGGCGCCCGGAACGCGCGGTCCGGCTGCCGCGACGCACCTGGCGCAGCTCCTCGCGGCACACGGCGCAATATCGCTGTTCGCACAGCACCCGCATCTTGGTGGAGCAGCGGTAGCACACCGGGTGGTCACAGCGGCCCAGCGCCGTGGCCTCCAGATCTCCGCAGCACAGCACGCAGCTCCCGCCGCCTCGCTCCGGCGCCACCGTCGCCGCCTCCAGGGCTGCGCGCAGACTATCGGCGTCTGCTGCTGCCGTCGCCGCCGTAGCCGCCGCCGCCGCCATGGTAAGGGCTCCGGCCCCCTCCCGGCCGGCGCGGCGCGGCCAGTCTCCTGGCGGGCCCGCCCCTTCCTGGGTCGACGTCATCGTCCCGCCCATCAACGGCCCCGCCCGGCGGAAGTGCAGACGAGATTTCCGCCCCGGAGAGGTACTTGTTAGACTAACCCCTCTGACGTTGGGGCTACATGTGAAAGTCTGCGGCTCTCTCGCTTGACCCTTTTCTTGGGCCGCCCTCTGTTCCTGCGGCTCCATTCAATAGGGTGCCATTGTCAAACTCTGTGTTAGAGACCTCAATCTAGACGGGAATTAAGAGGGCCTGAAGGAGGAGCTCTCACACCACGTGTCAGAAAAGTCCCACAGGAAGAACTCTAGGGTTACAACAGAGTTCTATGGTCGTATCAGCCCCTCCCCTTAACTTCCTGTGCTCCTCTATAAAGTATTCTCCATCTTTTTTCGGCTGAATTTGCACGTGGCTCACCAAGTGCGCAGGTTCTGTAATGAAATCCTTTCTTTTTCCTGAATAAATCCTTTTTTGTGATGAAATACCTAGTTGGCATTTTTACGCATGAGTTGGGGGGGGCTTACGTGGAATCTAGAGAATAAGCCCCCATTGCTTCGCATAGGGAAGCAAACCGGTGCTAGTGCCCATAGAGCTGTCTTGAGCTCACTGTCTTCAGCTCAGGAGCTGGAAAAGGTAAGCCTTCTCTTGGAACTGCGCTTCTGCTTCTTGCTCTGAAGCTCTCCAAGCATTACTCTGGAACTTTTGAATTTTTTGTTTAAAGGCCTTGTTTTGTTCATGAGCTAATTTGGCACTCTAGCCACATGCCCTATAGGGATGGTCTCTAGGAGCTCAGTCTTCGGCTTATCTCTTCGTAGAGCAGGCTTTATCCACTAAAGAACTGGCTTTTTAGCCTTTGGCGGGGACTCTCTGTGATTGGCAGGTATTTAGCCTGCAGGTTGCTTGAGCTTTATAGACTGTTTTGAGCCTTTGTTCTAGACAAAAGCCTCTGAAAGTGGGATCTCAGTTACCTAAATATTTTCAGAATGTTCCTCCTAAAGGCACTCACTCCACCTGAAATTATGTTGAAAAGCCCTCAGTCACTCTTTATGTGCATATTTAAGTTGGTTTGTCTGACCAAAAGTGATAGAAGTAAACCGTCATTTTAGAAAAAGCAAGTACTTAGGAGATAACTAGACCCTCTTGCTTCTCAGTAGATAACCAGACCTTTTTGCTTCCTGCTTCTGTAAGCTGCTTACTGCTCTCTCATCTAAAGAATGTCCGTCCAGCCCTGGCCTCTTTGGCTCAGCGGTTAGAGCATCGGCCTGCGGTCCAGAGAGACGCGGGTTCAGTTCCCACTAAGGGCATGTACCTCGGTTGCAGTTTGTCCCCGGCCCTGGTTGGGTCGTGTAGGTGACAACCACTCGATGTGTCCCTTTCACATTGATGTTGATGTTGCTCTCTCTCTCTCTCCCCCTCTCCCTCCCCCCCTCCCTCCCTCTCCCACTCTATCTGAACAAAATACCGAAAAATGTCCTCCGGTGAGGATGAAAAAAAGAGAATGTCCGCCCAGCCCACTATAAAACTAGGCACGCCCTGCAGCTCGGGGCCCCGAATTTGGAGACTGCCTCCTCTGGGTCCGCACGTGTAAATAAAGGAACCTCTTTGCTTCCTCTGGTGTTCTGAGTCTTTTCCGTAATATTTTGGTTCCCTGACCGGGAAACAACTCACACGAGCAGGTGTTTGCCACCGGTGAGGTGGCCTCATGGGCGCTTCATGGAGCCCTGTGACAGAGGGAAGCATGCGCCCCCGCCATTTTGAGTCCCTGCCCGCTCTGGGCTCCATGGCCAGCTGTCAGTGAGGTTCACACCCCACCTGGGCTACCAGGGAAAACGAATGGGACCAGCTTCAGGGACTGCACGGCTTCAGGACCAGTGAGTGCCCCGGGGACCAGGAGCCAGAGTACAGGCCCACCCTTGAGGTAGAAGGAGAAACTGGTCACCTCTCAGGCCTTTAGGTCACCAGGTAGGGCAAGCCCTAATGGGAGGGAATGTTTAAACTCTGTTGAATGTCGCCCTGGCTGGTTTGGCTCAGCGGTTAGAGCATCGGCCTGCGGTCTGGAGAGACCCGGGTTCAGTTCCCGCTAAGGGCACGTACTTCGGTTGCAGTTTGTCCCCGGCCCTGGTTGGTCATGCGGGTGGCAGCCACTCGATGTGTCCCTTCACGTCGATGTTTCTCTCTCTCTCTTCCTCTCTCTCCCACTCTATCTGTACAAAAAATGGAAAAATATCCTCGGGTGAGGATAATAAAAATAAAATAAAATAAACTCTGTTGAATGTCAGTGTGTGAATGAGTGTGAATGTCTGTGTGGCTCCACTGGTACAGGCCTACGGAGTCTGAGTGAGCCCCAACCTGCGGTACCGTGGTGACCTCATACCGCTCAGGGCAGCATCAGGTTCTGGGGGACATAATCCCTCCCTGCAAACATGATCTGAATCAGGGGTTTGTACTGACCTGCCAAAGCTAAGAGGCACCTAAATCCCCACCCCTTGTCTGTCTGTGCCATTATGAGAGGAGAAACTATGGGAGGAGGCCCATCAACAGTACTTGACTGCATGTTGCAGGATTTTGATTGGTTCCAGGGCCAGGATCCGAGCATGACCCCGAGCCAATTGGAAACCTTCTGTTCAGCCTAATGGCCTAGTTTTGGGGTAGGCTAGCCCCCTGAGGGAACCCTCAACCTAGGAATCATACGGGCAGTGCATCTGATAGTAACAGGGAGGCCAGGACACACAGACCAGTACATCTATATACATAGATGGAAAGAACTAGCTCAGGACATGCCAAAGTAGCTCCAACGCTGTGCTGGGCAGAAGCCGAGATTGGCAGGGATAACTGGAACAAAGAAAAAGACCTCACCTTGCCAAACATGGGCAGTCCCTACCCACATCCTCATGGCTCACTCTAAGGAGGCACACCGATCCCCCATTTTCAAAGGCGACCCAGAGGAAGAACCCCCCCCCCGTCTACTTACCCCCCATATGCGCCTGAGACGGTCCCCCAGACCCCCGAAATCGACACGCCACCACCATCTGTCACCAACACCAGCCCCAGAAGTGCCCCCGGCCTCCCCGGTCTCGACAAGGCGCGGCAATGGCAGCCACTCCAGATGCCTCTCAGGGAGACCCAAGCCCCGCCACAAGTTGGGCCAGATGGTACAGAGCAGCCAGGACGGACCATCGTTTATTACCAATTGTTCACCACCACTGACCTCTTAAACTGGAACCACCATACTCCGTCATACTCGGAGAAACCCCAAGCCCGATTGACCTTATGGAATCCATCATACAGATGCATCATCCTACCTGGCATGACTGCTGACAGCTACTCCTCATGCTGTTCAACACTGAGGAGCGAAGGCGCATTCTCCAGGAAGCCCACCGATATCTGGAGACCACAGCGTCCATGGGCACTTTAGACCCAGCCCAATGGGCAAGAGCAGCAGCACCTGAGGCCCAACCTGACTGGGACCGCCACTCAGAAGAAGGAAGGGCTGCACTTCAGAGATACAGGGATGCCCTTCTCCTTGGAATCTGGGCAGGGGCCCTACAGCCTACTAACATGTCAATGTGACTCAGTAGCCTGACGAATGCCCTGGGGTTTTTTTTGTTTTTGTTTTTGTTTTTTATCCTCACCCGAGGATATTTTTCCATTTTTTTTTGGTACAGATAGAGTGGGAGGGAGAGAGAGAGAAACATCGATGTGAAGGGACACATCGAGTGGCTGCCACCCGCACAACCAACCAGGGCCGGGGACAAACTGCAACCGAAGTACGTGCCCTTAGCGGGAACCGAACCCGGGTCTCTCCGGACCGCAGGCCGACGCTCTAACCGCTGAGCCAAACTGGCCAGGGCTGCCCTGGGGATTTTTACGAACGTCTGTGTGAGGCCTATTGGATATACACCTCATTTGATCCTGAAGGGCCAGACAACCAGAGAATGGTCAACATGGCGTCTGTCTCCCAATCAGCCTCGGACATCAGGAAGAAGCTTCAGAAACTTGAGGGCTTTGCCGATTGAACATAAGCCGACTAATAGAGATTGCCAACAAGGTATACAATAACAGAGAGGAGGCGGCTGAGCGGGAGGCTCAAAAAAGAATGGAGAAAAAGGCAGCCCTCCTAGCAGCCACACTAGGAAATCCTCTGCCACCCAGGAAAGGCCAGCAACCAGAAGGAAAAAACAAGCCTACACACTGGAGTGTGGAAGCAGACCAATGGGCATACTGCAAAGAAAGGGAGGGGACACTGGAAAAGAGAGTGTCCCAACCAAAAGAAGAAAAGGCAGGCCGATAGACAAGCGGGACCTGAGACCCAAGCGCCTACCATCCTCGGTTTGGCAGGCCTAGACTCAGACTAGGGGAGACTGGGCTCACTATATCTCGGCCCCCATGAGCCCATGGTTCAAATGACAGTAGGTGGCCAAACCCTCCCCTTTTTGGTAGATACTGAGGCAGAACATTCAGTAGTAACAACCGCGTTTGCACCTCCCTCAGGGCACGAGATCTCTATCATTGTTGCCACCGGTCAGCCTAGTGGCCCCAGACAGTTTTGTCAAGCCCGAACTGTAGAACTCGGGCCACCAGGTAAAGCACGAATTCCTGTACATACCAGAGTGCCCGGTTCCGCTCCTGTGACGCCACCTGCTTTCTAAGCTAGGAGCCCAGATCTCCTTTCGCCCATCAGGAGAGGCTCACTTACAAGTTGGCACCCCACACCTCATTGCAGTCTTGGTTCCCCGGGAATAAGAATATTGACTATATAAGGAAGCAGAGGAAGGCCAACGGGAGCCCACAGAGGGAAGAGGGATTGACCTTCGAAAGAGATACGCAAAGGTCTGGGCAGAAGACAGCCGGCCAGGATTGGCAGGGAACCATCCGCCTATAATTATAGAACTGAAGCTGGGAGCTGGACCGAAACAGATCCGCCAGTACCCCATCCCCAGGAAGG